TTAAAATTTATGTAGATTATCTTAATTTATTTTTATGAACATTTTCTAAAAATATTTAAATTCCAATAAGTAATTAAAAATCATACAAATACATAGAAATTTATAAAGTTTTAAGTTAAATTTGATTTAAACGTTAGATTTAATTTTGGACCGTCAAATCTTTTTTTTTACTATTAGATGATCTCATTTGATCATAGCCGTTAGATCATAAGTAAAAAACAAAAACAAAAAAAATTTGAAATATAACAGTTTGGTGAGTCCATAATAACTTAAGTCAGACTTAAATCCTAGAAAGAATCTAGCCTAGAGATATATTTTCTACCCAAAACTTATTTTAGCCCATGGTTGGAGATGGTTTGGGGGAGTTTTAAAGCTTCTATTTTAAGTTTTATCCTATGGATATATTGCTATTTTTTATAAAATAAAAAAATATTAATATTACTGTTTCTCTTTTAATTTAAATCACTTGTAATCATAGTGTGAAATGTCGATAATATTGACGAAATATCATCGATATTTCAGTTTTTTCGAATCACGGATATTTCGGAACATATCCATGTACATATCGTACAAATATCGACAATATCGACGATAACATCGGAAAATATCGATATCGGTGTAATATCGCTAAAATATCGAAAATATCGATGTAAAGGAAGGAAAAAAAAAAGGAAAAAAAAAAGAAAAAAACGGAAAAAAAGGAGAAAAAAAAACACAAAGGGGATTTTAACCCCTCCCATTTTACTCCTCCAACACCGTAACCACCATATATCACTTATGTTTTAGTGATAATATGCTAAAATATTTATATTTATATGAGTGGCATGTTAACAATTACATGCAAAACTATTTTGGGGATTTATCATTTGATGAATACTCTTCACAATAAACTTACTCTACACATAGAGATGATGAAGATAGTGAAAATTTTGAACCTCATAGGAAATTTATGTGGTACTAAATCACTCATGTATCTTACCATGCAATGTATAAAGTGTAAAATATTGTAGTAAATAATTACATATAAATGATTATGGTGTGTTTATTTTTTTTTTCATTAATTACTACATATTTTATACACTCACAGTGTTTGCCAGCTCGTTGTATAATCAACTTAAATCAATTAAATTCATTATATAATGCATTTCCTTCTCTCTCTTTTTTTTTTTGATAAACTAATAGATAATTGACTAAATAAACATTATCCAAAGTTTAAATAAAAAATTTCAAGTTTTTCTTACAATTTTCGTGGTTTTTATTCAATTTTTATCGATATCGATAATATCCTGATATTTCCATCGAAATTTCCATATTTTTAGATTACCGATATTTTCGATATCATCGATATTTTATACTATGCTTTTAATCAAGATCTTAAATGAGAGAATGAGTAAGACTTTGGGCGCTCCAAAAGAAGTCAAATGGCGGTTGATCAGGACCGTACAATAGGAGCCATAAACATCATATCACAAAATTATTAATATGTAGTGTACACGAGTAATAACAACGGCTAGCAATTAAGGGAAAGAGATTCTCTCCGGATTTCTTCCTCTTAATCCATCAAATTAGAGAATTTATGTCATTGAAATTTGATTAACGGCTGAAATTATTATAACTTTTAAAATTGGCTCCTGTTTGTAACCATTTGATCAAATTTCAATGGAACATATTCTTTGATTTGGTAAATTAAGAGGAAGGGATCCAGAGAGGATCCCTTTCCGTAATTAAGCATTATTTATGGTTAATAAAACGAGAGAGAGGGTTGATCGTACATCCATCCTTCAATCAAATGCGTGCATTTCAACGCGTAGGAGGGCCAATTTTAGCTAGTGTACAATTCTGCAATAATTTTTTGGTCCTTGTATGAGTTGGATAAATTAAAAGGAAAACTAATGAAAAGGGTTTGAAAACTTTGAGTTTTAATGATAAGGACAAAATAAAGGGTAAAGTGAATAGTACCATGATTGACTTTTTAGTGTAAAAATGTGGTTTTTCGTTAAAGTGAACAGTACCAGGTGCTTTTCGTTAAACTTCCCTAAATTAAAATTTGAATTCAAGGTTGGTTGATTTCTTTGCCAAAATGTCAAGTTTCATGATCATAAGGTGGAAAGTAATCCATTTTGGAAATAATTAGTTGCACTAATGTGCATCTATCAACCTTGATGTGAGATTTACAGTCGTACACGTGAATATGTGAAACTAGCTCTTTAATTATAAACGCATGTGAAGTCCCTTTATTCTCTCATGCACGATTCAAAGCCTAACGTGCGATTCTACCTTTGACTTGGTTGTGATTTGCTCCTACTCAGTGTCTGAATTTCTTCGAGCATGCTATATTTCTATGGAAATATCAGAAAAATATATGAAAATGGTGGTGAAGTCTAAACTTCACAAGATATCAGATAAACTCTTAAATTTTGGTTAAATCGACATATTTCGTTAATAATTCCGACATACTTAAATATCGACAAATTGCCATATAACATTCCCTAACTTTCATTTAAATGTCCAAGTTTTTTAGCAAATTTCCATTATTTCCATTTAAGGCAACCGATATCAATATTGATACATTCATGGATATTTCCATAAATTTGCATATCGATATTTCCATCGATACCGATATTTTACACAATGGTCCTACAACATGGCATCTTTAAACATTATTCTCCCCCAGAGAGTGTTGAACAACCAAATTTGGTGTTCTTAATTTTATATTTTGGTACATGGAATTGTTCTTAACAATCCCAAACTCTAAATGTGCGCGCCAGTTTTTCTATTTTTAGAATGAAAAACACACTCGTAAAGAGTGCAAAATAAAATTTTTTAAAATGCCAATAATAATCCCCTAGTATATAGCGGAAGATAATTCTCTTTTAGAAGCTTAATTATTTAGTACTCAATGATCAAGTTTTGCCTAAAAATTAATTGTCAATGCTTTGTTTAGTACATGAAAGCCTATCCCTCGTCCAATTGAGGGATAACCTCCTCCTTGGGGCAATACTATGCTTCCCTTTAAAGCCTTCACCGTCAAGTTTTGATGATTAATTGTCGGCTATAGTGGAAGTCAGGAGGGTTCCACTCTCAAATGTAGTAATTCTTTTTTGTTTCTAGCATTTGGCCCTAGAATATGTATGGTCATGTCAGTTTACCAGGAAGATCGTCCTCAAAATTCCATATTTTTTTCGTAAAAGTTTCAACCTTGTAGACTATGGCAACAATCAGGACCGTAAATAAACTCACAATTATGGCATGGCAGTATGCTCTGCTCTCTTGCGACCCCTACTCTAATCAAAAGACTAAAGCCCCCTTAGGTCGCCAAACTAGAATGAGGGGTCCGCTTTTTGATGTGTTAATGTCAAAGGTGCCCATAATCCAGAATGTAAATGTGATTAACTCTACTTATATTGTTTTTCAAGTGAGTTATAGGAAATTATGGGCACCTTTGACATTAACACATCCCCCTAACCCTCGACGTTAAAATTGGTTCTCGAGTTGTTTTGCTAGGCAGGTTCGACAATGATCCTTATGCAAGTTCATCTACGAAAACTTTACTACGACTTTTCCCTCTAAATGGCAAGGTTCAGTAGACTTCTCGCTACATCGCGGGCAATGAGTCACCCCACATCGTTGCGATCTAAACACTTCACCATACTATTCAATTAGTATGAGCGACAAACGATGTGCCAAAGGGCAGAGGCGTAGTTAACATGAGTTGATGACTCACGCTTACTAAGAATTTCTTGTCAAACAACAATAATTAGTTTATAAATTATGGGTGTGTGCTTGTTTGACTTTGTTAGCTCTAACTAGACTAAACTAGATTAAAGATTAATGCAGTTCATTGTTTGTTTTCCACAAAGACTACCTTTAATGGGATTAAGTTTCACTCGACTAGACTAAGGGCTTGCTAGATAGTCTTAGCGAGACACCCCCCCCCCCCAAAAAAAAAACCATAGGACTGCAATGACCCCTTCTCTCTCGCGTCTTTGTCATCTCGGACTCCTCATAATCTCGGACTGCACCGTCTCTGGGTTTTCTCGATTGGATTATAGGTTTCTTGAAATGAAGATTTTGGGTTTTTTGGATTGTGTCCTGGGTTTTTGGATTAGATTCTGGAATTTTTGAAATGGAGGATTGGATTTTCGAGAAAAGTGATTTAGAAAATGAAAAAATAAATAAATTTTGAGTTCCAAATATGTTTTAGTTTATAACTTAGTATTGCACTGCACCAAATACTTAACTATTCTTATTTTATTTAGATCAAGCCAAACTGATCCAACTTAATCTATAAAATTAGTCAAATTGAAAATAGTTCGATTCAACTAAGGACAAGGATTGTCTGCCCTTCACTTCCAGTGCCATCTCCGTGCTTTCCTGTTTTGTGTGGTCACGGTTAAGCCACGTTAACATTTTATATTATTTTTTTATAGATATAATAAGAAAAAAATAAATAGTAATATAAAATATTAACATGACTTAACCGTGACTATACAAACAAAAAGATATAAAAAGAGCATCGGAATTGGAAAGCAGACAATCCTTGTCCATCACTCTAAGGGTACACAGTAGACCGTACATCACGCAACTTCCAACTCTCGAAGCCTCTCAACAGACAACATCACGTCAGATAAATCACACAGTAACCTCCACGTACTTCCACAACTCCCAGTAACATTCCGCAACGTGGCGCTCTCTCCTCCAGTCATGTTCCTCAGCCGATAAAATTAGGCTGGCCGACAAGGCGACAATCCTCCCGTTCCTCTACCGTCCGTCCACGTGTCGTCAACCAACGGCCAGATCTTATTCCTCTCCCATGTCTTCACGGCAGCTGCAACGGTTGGACTTGGACATCGAAAGGCTGTTTCGGTCTTTTTGCTACTCCAAGCATTGGTCAGTGTCATTGGGTTATTTGCTTGCGTCGCGGGGCTAACTTGGTAATTTCAGAAAAAAGGAAAGAGTTTGGAAAGATATGTGGGAGGGATATTTGTCGGTGTTCGCAGCTTATAATTTCCTATTCGCCTTCTCTCTCACTCCTCACTTTCTCTCTCTAGAATAGCAACTGAAAACAGAGTGTGTGGGAAGGAAAAGATTGCACACTCAAACTCTTACGCAAATGTGAGCGGAATTTTCCCGGAGAATTCAGGGATCGATCAATTTTCCCGGAAAATTCAGCAATCCGTCAAATACGGTAATTGAAATGCAAGACATTTATTCAGTGAGAGGAGGAGGGAGGTTCTTCGGCGGCTCGGGAGGAGGAGACCGGCGGCTGAGGCCGCACCAGCACCCCAACCAGCAGGCCTTGAAGTGCCCGCGGTGCGATTCTCTCCACACCAAGTTCTGCTACTACAACAACTACAACCTCTCCCAGCCCCGCCACTTCTGTAAGGCCTGCCGCCGCTACTGGACCAAGGGCGGCGTCCTCCGCAACGTCCCAGTCGGCGGTGGATGTCGCAAAACTAAACGCTCCAAGCCGAAAAATTCATCTTCGTCATCGCCGACATCGTCTCCGCCTCCTCCTCCGCCGCAACCGAACAGCGCCGATCAGAACAAATCCAGCTCTCATTCGAGCAGCGAGAGCTCGAGCCTCACCAACCCCACCGCCGCCGCCGCTACTGCCGTCACGGAGGCCGTCTCAGCGCCGTCTTCGACCGGCTCTGCTTCCAATTTACTGACCAATATTCATAATCCGGAATCCAAATTCTTCGTTTCTCAAGGCGGCGCGAACGGTGGCTTTGAGCCCAGCACGTCGGCGGCGGCGCTGCTGGAGCAGATTACGGAGATTAACGGATTGTTCTCGGAGATTGGGAGCTTCACGAGCTTGATCACGTCTTCCAACGACGTGCCGTTTAGTTTCGGGAACATCAACGGCTCGCCGTTTGATCAGCCAGCCCAAGTTGGTAATCATCATCACAATCAAGTTCATCAAAACCAATGGGGGCAGCAGAACCAGGAAGGGAAGATGCAGGAGATCAGTGGTGGATTGCTGGATCAGACGGCGCAGGTCGATCTATCAGTGTTCCAAAACAGATCCAACGGCGTCGGAGGAGGAGAATTTGGACCGTTGGATTGGCAACCGGGATCAGTTGATCAAGGTTTGTTTGATCTTCCTAACACCGTAGACTGGAGTCAAGGTCAATGGGCTGATCAAGACCACCCTACTCTCTACCTCCCGTAAAATCTCTCACTCTAATTAAACACCCATTTAAAAAAAAAAAGGGAAAAATCTCAAATTTGAGATAAAATTATGGATTAAATAATATGACTTATAATTATTATACTTTTTCTTGGTTTTTAAAAATTGTTATTAGCACTTCAAAAATTTTATTGATAACTTCGAATTTAGAAAAAAAAATACACATGAGGAGTCGAAAATAAAATTTTTGAAATGTCAATGACAGTTTGTAGTTTTTTAGGAATGTGTTTGGGTTCACTCTTGCCTCTCGAGGTTAATCTGCAACCAACTTCGTGTTGGTTTTTATTTTTAATAATTTTGTTTTTGGATTTGTCTCTAATGTATACGAATTTGAATTAATCAAATATTTAGAGACAGATGTTAGAATTACTTACTCGTGTCTCAGATTACTTTCTTCGTTAATTTCAATTTCTTTCTATTGAAATGTTGTTTTGAATTTATGGAGTAAAAATTCCAACTTAAGCATGAAAACACGAACGCTTTGATTTGATCAGATGACCTAGTATAAATCATGTCTAGTTTCGACGATCTCAGTTAAGTTGTTCATACATGCATAGTCTATCTAGTTACTTACTACAAACATAAGTACGAGAAGACGAACGGTCCGATCTGATCAACTTGCCTAACTCAAGTCGTGCCTCTTAATTTTAGTTGAGTTTTTCATATATGCAGTCTATCTTGTCCACTTACTAATTAGAATTAGTAGCTGTTTATCATCATTTAAACACACTTAAGGGTTTGCCACATCATCACTGTAAGTGAGGATTAACAGTGAAGTGGGGGTAAGAATAGAGTTTGGCTGGTGAAAAATCAACAGCAGCTAGCGAATCAAGAGTAAAATACGTGTCTAAATAATTGATTTTTTAATAATAATTTAAATTCATGTTTATGTTTACTCGTGATTCGCTAGCCTGCTAGAGCTGATTTTTTCAGCAGCCAAGTTTTCTTTGTGGGGTAATCTAGGTTTAGAAATTTATTTTTATTTTTAATTTTGGCGGGTTGGGAGGTTTGGGCAGTGCGCGGGTACTGGGGCGACTCGGTTGGCAAATTCGTTGGGGGAGGGGGGCCCACTTGGATCGGGAAGATGAGCGATTATGATTCCACGTGGCGGAGGGATGGGGAAGAGGGGGAGCCCTGGATGATAACGAAAGAGGACACGTGGGCCTACGTGATGTGCCAGGGGCTTAGGAAGGTCGGTTTGTCCTGGCTCTCCCGCCTACTCTGTTGTAGAGTGGTATTCACACACAGTCACTGACAGTGACAACTGAGTTTCCAATCGAGCAAAATCTGAAATGTAATCGGATATATTATTGTATCATGCGATGACAGTGATATTGGTATGAAAGGTAAGAATGTACTCTCATTCTCTAGTTATAAATTCTAATTTATTGTTCGGTAAATTTGATTTGAGAGAGAAACTTACGTATAACTATTGACTAGTATGTCACAATAGTCACATATCTTACGTTTGATCGAGCATTATTGCGTGTGAAAGTTACATATGGTAGTCTTATTACGAATGTACATGTAATAATAAGCTTACGATTATTTCTACAATGGCGTCTCACTTGTGTATGTCATTCTTCTTAACTAAGGGAATAACTTGCATGCTTCTCTTGAAATGTTAGGACAGTAACGTGGCATCTTAGTCAATAATATAATATTATGTATAAATGGAGTGTGATCCACTCGCTATCTCTTGTGTCTGGAGCTTGTAAACCAAGAGATTTAGACTATTCAAGAGAGAAAAAAAGATTTCGATTGTTCAAGATTTTGAACTTTTGTAAAGCGAGCCAGTCAGCCAGCTAATAGGAGTCATACAACTGAAATTGAGTATCTCATGATCCTCAAGCTCCGGATACATAGATCTAAAGTGAATCTCTCTTATATAAATGCTTCAACTTTTAACATTGTATTATTGATCTAAGATGATGTATTGGTGTTCTTGTTACATGGAGGTTCTTCTCATCAACTAAGGGGTGTAGATAGACATGGACACACGAACGTTTGCATGTTGGAGTGGGCTGTAGAAGATGGAGGAGCGGGGGAGATGATGGTGACGTGGATACTACATGCCGATGGACCCGGATTAGGTTAGTTGGTGGGTTGGTGGGGACTGGTAAAAACGGGTACTAGTGAGCGGAATTGGATCCTCTCCTAAGCAGGAGATTAGGATCTTCCTAACCCACTAATATGAGCGGTTAGATTTTAATCCAACGACTACAAACACAGAATCCTCTAAAATTTATAATAATTGTAGTCGTTGAATCAAAATCTAATGGTCCGTGTTAATGAGTCAGGAGGATCCTGATCTCCTGCACGGGAGATGATCCAATTCCCTAGTGAGCGGGGTTAAGTGGGGTCCAGATGGGCAAGTTCAGAACAGGAAGTGGTTTCTGACTCAGTGATTGACTCACTCTTCTCCCCCATGACTCAGGGTCGAGTTTTTGAAGTAAGAAGGTTTCTGTTGAAATTGTGATCTTACATTGGAAAATTAAAAGACTTTTACATATGCTTATAAGCAATTAAGTTACTTATTTCAGAGTGAAGTCTTAACTTCATTCGTCGTACAAAGTAGGTTATCTCATGTTTTGAGCCCAACGACCCTTGTGCTCCTACCTCACTAGCTGTGATGTGCGAGGCAACTCAAAATTCTCGTACTGTAGCAACTCAAAATTAAACTAATCAATGGTATTTTGAAACTTTACACTTTGGAAGGAAATTTGAACTAAAATATAAAAGGTGGACACGTTGCTATGAGTTATGACGTGATTGTCATAATCTAGTATGCAACGTCCTCGATGAGATATCAATCGACATTGTTTGCGACGCATGTGCAAGCTGCAATGGTCCAAACAAGCAATGGTCGATGGGCGAGGGGTACGACACTACGCCACCATAACTGTAGGCCAGAGGATCAAGATGTGACCTGTTTGCCCCTTTTCTTGCCTAAGAACTGCCATTAAAGACGAATAAATAGGCCACGGACCATGTTGCGGCCAAGCAACAGTGTGGCATGGTTTGTCACCTCACATTGCAAGTACTTTGAACTTTGAAGAGCCTCACAGTTGGGTAGATATGGCTGTCGTGGGCCTTCTGTTTCGTGACGATTCTCTCTTTTGACATTCATAGTTGGGGAAGCCTTTACGTATGTTTGCCATATTAAGGGTTTTCTACTTTCAACCAAACATTTAGCCTTTGACAATGGAGCTTGCTATGTGTATTGGGTAGTGCTTTTTTTCACATCTTTTTTACTTTTCACATACTCTTGTCAAATTTTGTCGGTTAATTCTTTTCAATTCATTCGATATAACGGCTAAAAATTGAGAGTGATGTGTGGATACTACCACCCTATATATTTATAAGAGTTTTAAGGTCATCAACTTGTGGAGGAAGTTGCGGAAAAAATTATGGTTTTGGCCTAGTGCGACAAGTATTGCGTTGCAATGGGCTTGTAGCTCAGGTTGTTAAGATTGCTCATCTTCTGCAACGAAAGTTCTGAATCTTCTTCCATTAATATTGCTTTTATTATGTATGTGATTATTTTTATTCAATTATTAATTTCTAACTTCTAAGTTTCTTTTAGTGTTAATCTAGCTTTGTCAATAAACCAGTTTGGAGATTATTTTGAGAAAGGTAATGCTAGGGAGACTAAAATTTTAAACTAAATTTGCAAACCAAATGATGTGCCACCAATAAAAAATAATCACATTAATAAAAACTTACGTAATAATTCAATCATCAATAACCACATTATTTAGTTTAAAAATTTAGTATCTCTAACATTATCCTTTTGAGAATATGACTATATATTCCACTCAAATGTGTATTACCAATCCACTCATGTTTAACTAGTTACGTAGATTCATGACATACAAACAATGAATTAGTAACACCATATGTATGTGACCGTCACATGCACTTAAAAGTTTTTCATAAGTCGAGGGTTTGTAGAAGGATGCTCATCAATAATCTTACGTTTCATATGGTGTCTATGACTAAATAAGAATGGATGATCAATAAGTAGATGAGTGATTTTTCATTTTAAGGGAATTAGTCCATTAGACATGAAAAACACTTATTTGTTCTAAATTTACCATTTTGTGGGGATTGTAATGGACATTGTTCGAAAAATAGGAAAATTAATGAAAAAGACTTGAAAACTTTGAGTTTTAACGATAAGGACAAAATAAAGGGTAAAGTGAATAGTACCAAAATTGACTTTTTGATATAAAAATGTAGTTTTTCGTTAATGATGAAAGCTTTTTATTAAAGTTCCTCTAAAAATTGGCCTAGACGAGCGTTGGGCAGTGAAGTATCGTGGTGATTTTGGCCAAAACCTTCACTAAAATCGTTAATGCAGCCTCTAGATGCTGGGCAGTGAGGTGCCGTGGCGATTTTGGCTAAAACTTGTATAAATTCGGAGAGGGATTAGGCGGCCGCCGAGAGGCTGGGCGGTGGAGTACCCTGGCGATTTTGGCTAAAACGTTGACTAAAATTGGAGAGGGATTAGGCGGCTGCCTTTATCTAGGCGGTTCTAGTATTAAGACTGTTGTTCCTGGTCGTCGTAAGGGAGAGCAGTGATCTCGTGATCCTCCAATTCAATGACGGCGGGTGGACACCACCAATGGTGGTGAGGAGCTTCTTCATGACGTGTCACATGCAGCAGGAGTTTCAGCTGAAGGTGACGACAGGGTGCTCGTAGATGAGGGGGCGGATGCGGGTCTAAGCGGACTCGGTGACGTCGATGGACAGGGTGGAAGAAGAGTGGTTTGAGGGGAGGAAGTGAGGAGGCCGAGATGGACGACGTCGTTGGAGCAACGCCGTGGGCCTTGCATCGCCGGGAAAGCCAGAGGAATGGCGTTGTGGTGAATTAAGGGAGAAATATGGAGTGAGGTGGTGGGGAAATGATGTCAACGGAGGGCAACGATATAACTAAGGTGGGATCATGGGAAGGGTAAATGGTGGTGTGAGAGATGAGAGATTTTTTAAGGAGTGGAAACACCATCTGATACACCAAGTGTAATAATAAAATTAGTTAAAAACTTGAAAATTTAATTTCAACCATTCGCATTATGACACTGTATCAAGTTGTGTTCCCAGCACAATGAAATTTTCGTGAGAGGGAAGGGGATGGGTTTATATATATATAAAGGGCGAGAGGGGGGATGAGGTCCAAGAACACTCATTATATGCCAAACTTTTCTCTGTCTAGTTGCCTAGTTGTTAGATCCTAGTCTGTCGCCTGATTAGCGCCTAAAGTTTTTTAGAACTATGGTGATGATTCTAATAGATAACTTTCTTTAATGAATAATCCATCGTCTATAGTGATTGATTTAGCCACTCGAATCCAATCCTAGATACCAAAAGAGTCCACAAAATAAACCTTGATGTATGCAGATAATCCAAATATTTTTAAATGGATTTGTATTATGATGTTATTGTTTACATCAAGATCTATAAGGCAAGACACAAGGGCTTAACATCCCGGACGAAACACTTGAGCCAAAAATGTATGTGTGTGTGTCACGTTCAGAATTTACAGCAGAGAAATCGCATCACCCAGTGCCGGTGCTGGTGCAATTGTCGCTCGTCAGCGCTCCCCATTCTCGCCGGGCTGCCATTCCATTCCGAGGATAATCTACTCATCATGTCAAAATTCAAATAGAAAAACTATGATTATCCACATAATCACATACTACGTTAACTGACGAAAATATATAAGAGCAAGCAGTAGAAATTTAGGTTAGTGAAGTTATGAGAATTTACATGGGAAAAGCGAAAGACTCGGAGCTAGTTGTGCTGCTGCTCGACCGATGAGAGATGCTGCCAAAACCCGGTATTCCTCCCAAGTACGAAAATGAGCCCGAAGGAAGTTCGGATGCTGAGGAACTGGATTCTCCGCGGCAATGCAGGTGTCGTTGACACGATTCTGCTAGGCTATCTGACATCCTATCTTTCAACGAATCATGCCTCAACAAGTTTTCCGTTTCTGGGGCAAGAAACTTTGCTCCGCTTGTATTTTCTAGGTCACCTTTTAAAGAGGCATTGCTCGTCCGGCTGTTGTCGCCAATTGCCTTAGTTATAGATCGTCCCATTGAGTTTGCGGCCAAGGCCGCGTTACTTGTACCCTAAACAACGCGAAATTAGAAACGGAATCAAGTAGGTATGTACTAGTAGTGTATAAGTACGATGTTTCCAGTATGTATGTGTCCGTATTGCTCGATTTATGCAGTGGTGATCGAGCATTGATTCGTGCTGGAAGTTTGCAAGTCTAGATAATGACACAAAAATGTGACAGCAATTAAAAATCCAAAACCAATCTTTTGGTTCAACATATCTTTTCTAATGTCTCAAAACGCGTAAAATAAAATCCAACTGGTTGGTCGGATTTGCCATCCGATACTGACCCTTAAACCTAATGAAATGGTAGTATCGTCGGTGGCATTAATCTACTGCGACTGTTTAAGACAGGACAGAAGAGCATATTATCCTTCAACACTTGCATCCTAATTTGTAAGCATTTGCATCCTACTCACTCGAAGGTAAAATGCGTTAGTTGACAGTTTTCCGAAGACGCAACAAATAATATTTTTGTGTTCAAGGGGGTTTAGTTCGAGCAACGAAATATTTAGCTACTTACCTGTCTAACCAAAATCACTTTTTTGGATATGATCTTCTTGATTGAATGATCATTTGAAAGATCATCCTTTTTGCCGTCATTCTCATCGGTTGAAGTGGTTGACTCCGAGTCCAGAGATTCTCTAATTGACTCGCCCTCGCTGTACAGATCAGGATCAAGTATGCAAGAAAAGCTACTATGATAGGATTCACAGTGCTGTACGAAACACTTGTCCTCGCATCGAACTTCCTTGTCAATGCCAATGTCCTTAAAGAACTGGTAGTTGCTGCTCCCTTGAAGGAATGCAACCAACTCTGGCAAGTCATAGTCCACAGCAGCCGTTCTAGTAGAATTCGTCCAAGCCGCGCAATCATTTGCTGTCACGGCGTCCCTTGTAGCGTGCATATTCTGACTGTCATCTGGATGTGGTTTTAGAACCGCCTCACTGTCTTGACTAAGCAAATCGGAAATGAACAGATTATCATCGTTCGAACTAGTACTTTTCTCCACCTTCAATCCCTTCGTGGCTTCGGAACTTTTGAACTTGAAGGACTTGTAAACAGGCAGGAAGACCGCGGTTGAATGGCCATCCATGGACTCCCTATTGAACTGGTAATCAATACGAAAGAAAAGCTAAAACTTATTAAACAGAAGACACCACCATTTCATCAGAACCTTCTCCAAACAATCCAGATTTTAACAATCCTTCCGCGACCTGCATTAGCGAAAATCGTACTTCAGAGGCAGGGTTTTGTTTCAACAGATTAATAATCGGAATTAAAACTTATGCTGTTTAATTTAATGCTCATAAATAGACGTCAAGAATGCAGGTGAGATTCGGAAAAAAGTAACAAAAATCATTAACTCACCAGTGCAGCTTTTGGAGGGCTGATGCAAAATCCTGAGGCCAAATAACCATGAAGAAAAATAGGAGGAAGCAACAAATATAAGGATAAGAACTTGCTAAATAAGCATTTTTGTATTCAAATAAAAAAGCAGGGAAAAGCAGAATCTGGCTTACGAGGTAAGAAGATGACCGATTCCTTCCGTCTTTTAAAAGCAAACAGGTTTTACTGAAAACTCTTCATAAACAAATGAGCCGTGCCTAGCAAAGTTGACTGAAGTAGTGTACCCCCTCTTTTCGAGGGTTCGATTTCTCTCCTATAATTTAAATTAGATTAGAATATTGCTTCAACACAAAGAATGAATTTAAGAGATAAGGCGTCCTGAATTTGGACAGTTTTTTTTACCAGGAGCAAATGCAGAAATTTATTGAACTTCCAAACTTGTGTAACAAATCCATTGAAAATTCCCATATAAGCAAAAGATTATTCAATGTAGCGGGAATTGTATTATTATACTTGATGTATTAAACAGTGTTCTCGACACACTATAGAGACCAGACCATGTTCTCGTCACATTGAAAAATATCTCTACGTGAGCATGGTTACATGGGAATTTGTGTATTTGTGCGAACACGTATGGTTGAGGTTTAATTACTATTAGGTGAACTGAACGTCACATATAATCCTGATTTAAATTTCTTCTGCCAACTAATTTTCTGGAATATGTTGCCCTCTTTTTTTGGTTAATACATTAATTAAGTTACCAAAAAAAGAGAAGAAAAAACCCATGATTCAATGTTTCTTCTTTCAATTTTTTCTGGTTGTTATAAAGATAGTTGAGATGGGGAAGTAAACCTATTAGGTCAGTTTGTATCGTGCGTCGAACCTCTTGCTATTCGAATCTCCCTTATCTAAGTTAGAATAGTTCAAAAACTCTTCAATCTCATAAATGCTAAAGGCACTCTTCATAGACTATTTGTTACTTTACAGTTTGACGTTAATTCTTATGCCAACAATATAAAATATTGTGCAAAAAATATGAGGTGACAAAGAGTCCATAAAGAGTTAGCTTAGCCAAAAACATTGTGAATATTGTATTTAATGCGAGCCAAAAACATTGTGATATTGTACTTAACGAGAGCATTTCTCGAGATGAGAAATGCTAAAGAGACTCTCTCAAAAGTGGAAGACTCCAAGACTCTTTGTCACCTCATATTTTTTACATAATGTTTTATAATATTAGAACGGGAAGTAATGTTAAACTGTAAGCTGACAGAAAATTTATCGAGAATACCACTTTGAAATGGTCTCTCTTATTATTTCTCATTTCTCTAATCCAAGTTTTGTAGCTGTGAAAGCTCCTTCTAGCACTTTTTGGTTACAATTATTAATAAGTTAAATATCTTTCTTTTGGTGATTAAATAATTATATTTGGGCAAAGCCCTTACTAACTAAAGTTAATTATTTGACTTAAGCTGCATTAAGATCTAAATCTTTACCAGAAGGTATTTAAAAAGCCACAGAAAATACCAAAACTACAGATACTAGGAAGATGGGATTCTCAATTCACCAACTCTTCACAACCTAAATTACTCGACAAAATAATCATTTAATTAAATTACAATTGATAAATAAAATAAACTTACCTACCTCTCTACCATTCCAGGTGAATCCCAAGCAGGTTCTTCCGTGCTGCTCTGCATCTACATGTATGCTCAACCATAATGCATGTATTTATAGTCTGAGTGGGAGGCAATGACGGAGTTAGGAATTTTTTACCGGGTGGGTTAGTTTAAAAATTCAAATCCTTATAAATAAAGAAACTTGATACCGTATTTTTCATAGTATCAGTTAGATTAAACAAAAATATTCACAAGGTGAGCCAAAAAAATTTGTAATTAAACAAATACATGTTCAAATTAAACAAATCCAAACTTGTACATGTACAAGAAGCGATGAGAAAAATGATGTAAGAAAAAGAGATGGTTCGTAAACTGTATTATATAATTTTATATAGTTAAACCTAGAGAATTCGGATTAGTGACTAAATATTTAGTGGGTTACATTTGAAAATCAATTAAAATTACATGTAAAATTTTATTTTTCACCGAAAGCTACTTGGGTTACAGCCCAGGGCAACCTTTAACCTGGCTCTGCCAGTGATGGGAAGGGCTTACAACTCAAGTGGTTACGAATATTTATATTTGCATCGAGGTTCTGTGCTTTTCTCATCTCGAGCATCGCTTGTATAAATGAAAAATGTATCCAAAGTCCAAGAAACGAATGAAACACCGAATCTTGTAGATTATGTTTCCTTGGTGGCATCTCCTTTTTCTTTTCCTTTTTTTTTTCTTGGGGACAGACCAACCTGTCCTACTAAATAAGTACAATTATCTGCTATTTACTCCTTTCACCTGGATTTTCTTGGCAACCAAACAGGTGGTTACTTATGAAACCAAAAGAATAATAAAAGCAGGTGGATTTTAAAAGAAAAATAAATAAAGAATAAATAGAATTTTCCCATGAATTAGCAATCTTCTGCAGGCGACTTTGCTATAAAATCTAACAACAAAAAAAAAATACTTGAAAAATAATTACTTGAGAATTCAGATAAATAATCACCAAAATTGAACACTTGGCAGTCGGTACCTGCCTAATTACTTGAAACTCCGAACAGAGTTAATTACTTTAAACTTAAAAATGGATCAATTTAACTAGTTCATGATATATCTTTGATGTAGGACAAAATATGGATCAATTTTGACGAAGAAAATTAAAGAAAATAAAATGTTTCAAATTATGGAAAGCATAATTAAAGTTGAAAAATATTGAATTTAACCAATATGGCAACATAAAAGACGTAATACACAATGAGAATTTATAAATTGGGTTTCCGAGCTCTGGTTGAGGAGCATAATACCTTACAAAAAAGAGTGCAATGTCCTAGTTCAAACTCACTGCTTTGCTATCATTTACAATTGATTTTGGGCATCTGAAGCCGTTCAGACTCCCAAAAACGTGTTGAAAAGTTTGTAATAAAAATTCAAACTTTTTTATTCAAATTGTAAACTCAATGAACCACCAAATATAAATGTGAGCTTGCCGTTAAATCGGTTCAATTTAATTTATAGAAATCAATAAAATATCAACAACATAATTATAAAAATTTGACGACACAATAACTAAAAATCGATCACATAACGAAAAACTCCTCAACTCAGCAATTGAGATTTGAAAAATATTTATTTTGGCCAAGTTTGCAATTTAATTTCTTTTGTTGGTTAAAGAGAGGACATTTTGGTAAAACGCACCATTCGTTGAGAAATCGATCGTTCGAAAAGGAAACTGTTTTTGAAAACGCTGTCCCCGACCGTGCCACTCTATCTCCGCAACTTTAGATTTTTGAATTTTGTTTTCAGAAAGAAAAAAAAAATCGGGGAAGAAGGAGGATGTACGACCCGCAGCACTTCCTGGAATCGCAAGACAATTCGAGGAATTTCGGGGACCCGAAATCGTGGCTTTCCGGGGATGCCAACTCGTCCCCGACTCACCTCCCTACTCAGTCCTCACTCGCTCACTCCTCCACCGCCACCAACAGCAATCTCGATCGCGTCCTCTTCAAAGACCTCGTCGAGATCGTGCCTCTCGTCCAGTCCCTCATCGTAATCCCTCTCTCTCTCTGTCTCTTGAACTGTGAATTTCAGGGCTTTCTGGGATTTTCTTTCCAATGTGTTTGGTTGCCGAGAAAATTGGGGAAAATAGCCGTTACTGGCGGACTTGGGATGAATTGGGTAGTTTTAAAGGTTGCTACTTTGCTTGTTTCTGATTGGGTTTTGAAGAAAATGGAATGGGGATTTTGAAATTAGTGATTTTTTTTGCTTCTTTCACGATTTCATGGAAAAAAATCTTTCAGGATCGGAAAGCTAGCAGTTCGTTTACGCGGCGGGGTTCGGTGGCCTACACCAAGACACCTTCAAGAGAATCCTTATCCAAAAAAGTATGATGTTTCGGTTTTCGGAACTTGTGATTGTTAATCTCTGTGATGAACAATGGCATTCTTTAAATTTTGTTACAGTTACTATGCACACAAGTAATGCTTGCTACTCGGATTGTTTTGATAGCTTTATTAATTTGAAAACAATTAACTGTGATTTATGAGGGAAAATTGTGTGCTTTTATAGTTGCAGTAAATCCAATTGTAGTAAAAACTATCTAGGTTTCGCTTTTACCGTGATGGAATGTAAAATTGGTGGTGTTTGGACTACCGATTGTTGTCGTTCGAAGAATTTGACATCTGAGAGTGTTCCAAGGCCTCAAATAATTTATTTTCCTTTATGGTTTGTTTAGTTTGTATATTCCTTATGAGGAAACAAGTAATGCAAAATCTAAGAGGTTCGTTCGATTTGGTGGATTATTGATGCCAAATTTCCTTTACCAATCATCCTTGGGATTTCATTTTGATTCTAAAGCTCTTACTTAGTATGTCAATTCAGTTTTCTTAAGGGTTATAAAAGTCTTCTGTATTTCTAACTTCGATCAATTTTGTTTCTTTGCATGATTCATCAAATGGGTTCCTAATGTTCCTCTCTTCTTATCTTCTAAAGGTTGAACAGAAAGGGAGGAATGCGGCTCAATCCATTCCCGCGAGAAAGAAGAGGGATCATGGAGACAAGGACTCAAGCAAAAATGCTGGCAGCCTTGATGCTGACAGCTTTTCAAGTTTTTCCTCAAGGGCTTCGGCAGCAGAAAAAGAAGAGTTGGATACATTAAGGGTACAAGTGGAAGATTTACAAAAGAAAGTAGCAGAGAAGGAGGAACTTTTAAAGTCATCAGAGATCTCAAAGGACCAAATGAATGCTGTTCAAGCAAAACTAAATGAATATAAGCAACAAGTTGCAGAAAAAGACACAGTAATAAAGGCTGTTAAGCAACAACTCTCTGATGCAAAGGTATGCATGCATCACTGGGTGCCTTGGCGGTGATTAGAGAATTCTCATGATATTTTATTTCATTGCGATACTAATGACATTATTCAATCTGGAATTTTGCACTTGTGAACTGTGGTTGTAATATTACTGTGACATTAGTTTTGATCTTTATCCAAATTGGCACGATTGTCTGAAACATTACTTGTGTTAATGCAGAAACAGATATCTGTGTTCCTTATTATTTTCTATAATGTTCGGATCTTCTCTTTTACTTTTGGTTTAATCTAGACCACAATATAGCCACTTGCCTACACTGGAATATCATCACGGACTCTCTCTCTCTCTCTCTCTCTCTCTGATGCAGACACGCAACTCTTTTTTGTGAATTTAAAGTTATTAACATCTGTTCTTTTTCACAGATTAAGCTTGCAGACAAGCAAGCTGCTTTGGAAAAGTTACAGTGGGAAGTGATGACATCCAACAGGAAAGTGGAGAAGCTCCAAGGAGAGCAAGACTCCTTGAAAGGACAGATTTCATCATTTATGCTCCTATTTGAAAGCTTGATGAAAGCTGATCCCGTTGTATACGGTGAAGATTATGATATTTCAATGAATACTGTGGATCATCTTCCTCACATTGTAAGTTCACAACCCTGTCCCTTGGATATGGTGGTTCGTTTCCTTTATATATATTTTCGGTTTGTTCTGTCATTTGTTGTTTTATATACTAACTAATTACTTGAGACACCTCTATCGTTGCAATCAGATTCCTGTATCATTACTGTTAAATTTTCAGATATCTGTTTGTTCATTACTTGGTTACTGTGTGTCGTTAACCGAATCGCTTGTGTTGAGAATTGTTTGTTCATGTATGTGTATCTGCGTGTTGGCTGCTGCATTCCTTGCAACTTAAAGATCCTTGCTTTAATGAACAGGATGATTTGGATGAGGCACAGATGAAGAAAATGGAAGAAGCTAGAAGAGCATACATCGCTGCTGTTGCCGCTGCAAAAGAAAAGCAAGACGAAGAATCTATTGCCGCTGCAGCCAGTGCAAGGTTACATCTTCAGTCATTTGTTCTCACATGATTTAGGTTTAGCGCCACTAGGTATTTACCGGCTTTGCGTTGCGGTGAGTCTGCTTGAATTATTGTTTATTGTTGTATATTTTCATTTTATTTCTTCCCTTTTGCTGGGTTATGTGAAATGTGAGTCTTTCCTTTCTTGTTTATCTAGTTTTCGGGATGATATACGTGATTTTTCTTGATAATTGTATGTGATTTCTCCCTCGCACGAAATGAAAATCGAATTTCTTTTCTGAAAACACAATGAATTGGTACTTCGTCTGTTCGAATTCCGCAGTTTGGATGTCATGCCAGTCGATCGGAAGCTAAATACGGTCCAAAGATACAAGCACAAACGTATGAACCGTAAATCGCGATGGCGTTATTACTTCTACGAGACACAACAATTTGCTTATGCTTAATCTAATCTCAAGGGGTAAAAAAATTGAGAGAAACACATTGCAAATTTCAGAATCTACAGCATTGAAACTGGAAGCCGATGCAGCGAGCCTTGTGCTTTCTCAAGTCCATAGCTTCTCGTTTCGGCATTTGCACAGGACTGCCAGTCCATTCCCATCCCAACCTGCGTTCATGATTTTGTCAAAGTATTATCAGGAGTTAATAATGTATTAATTTAATTAATTGCCTAACTATATTGTAAAACAATGTATTTTGTAACGTACACCGGAAACGCGAAGGAGCCTGTGCTGCCGTCCGATTGATTTGAATCGCTTGATTCAACTGACACGGTCGGACGATTCTCGACATTGATACTCGGAGGCGGCTCTTGACCGGAGAAGGTTTCCTCGTCTTCCTCGTCCTTTGCAAAATAATTATATTTCAAGGAAAGAAGATATAAGGTAGAATTACTTTTACATGTAAACAGACATTCCTTCGTACAGACAAATCGCAGTTTATAACGAACGTGCATATTCTTTGGAAAGGAAAAATTGAAACATAAAAGAAGGGTCTCTACCTTTTGGTCAAAGATGATAGATTTTCCATCATTTGTGGGGTAAATATCATAAGCTTTTCCAGTCAACCTCTCCTCATTGCTACACCTTTCAACTGCCTTTGTATCCTCCCCATAACGAAGCTGTTTTGATCAAACAAAAGCAAAAGAAATTAATCAAATTAACCTTCTTTTAAATGGAAAATTTCCCTTTCTCTCAGTCATCAACACCGTCGCAATTCCTAACCTTCCGATTGACATGCCTCGGCGAGTTTCTTGACGCGCAATCTCTCACGTTCGACGCTTCCACTTTGCCATTTTTCATAACTTCAAACGCTCCATCTTCTTTAAAGCAGAACACTATATACTCCTCCTCATCTGAAATATGTGGCCTGCAGCTTGAGTCATTAGAACTCGTATTTTCGACCGGGGAACTGCTGTCTTTAACTTGTTTAGGACCGTGTCTTAATCGTCGCTCTGTGTCACACTTTTTGTGCCTCGACATCTTTTTCCCCGTCTCATTGCTTCTGCTTTCGCCCTGCGTATCAAAAGCCATGTTTCGTATTGGCAATTGCGGCGTTGCAGGGCAAAATCTATCGGCTGCTTCATCATCTATATAAACAAAAAAGAGGAAGAAAAACAAAAAGGATTACCCGATTTGAAATAAACTACGATAGTTAACATCAAATATCTCCTAAATGGGGTTTTATTTGAATGTTTTATTGATCGTTGCGCTTACCCAAAGGAAACCTGCAAGCCAAGAAACATGAAGCCCAGCCTTTCACGCGCCATCTCACTAGCCTTGTCATTGTCCATGGTGTGCTGCACATTTTGATTATCTTAATTTCGGATGGAGAGAGAGAGAGAGAGAGAGAGAGAGAGAGAGGAGGCAAAACTTAAATGACTATTTGAATTTGAAAAAAGGGGGATGAATGTCAAGGGAGTTACAGTGTTAATCCATAATTAGTCGGTTATGTTTCCAAACATTGTAAAACGAAAAAGAAAAGAAAATTATGTAATTATTATTGCTGGCAAACGATCCCCTAATTCATGCCAAAAAAATAAATAAATCATGGTATATTAATACAGTGGCGGTCATCACATCGAAAATTATTACCAAATATAGCGGTATGATCTAATTAATCTGAGAAATTATGTGTAACATTATAAATCTTTTAGTAGTGTATGAGCGTGACATTGTATCCAATAATTGCGTTCATTTGGTCCACAGAATGAGTTCTTGCAATGCAAAATCCGCAAGCAAGCCTAAACATGCCAGTGCCTCCAAGGACCGGCATCTCCCTTTCTTCGCTCATCACCGGGTTCCGACCCACCACGCTAAATGTGCTGCCGTTGTAAGCTCCACCAGTGAACCCATACGTTAGTGTCATGAGGAGGCTGAACTCGTCCCGTTGCGAGGCCATGGCGTATATCCCTTGCGCCCGTCCCATCAGGGCGGACTTGGGGTCAGGCGTGGCCGTGAGTGGATTGTCCATCATGTAAACTGACCCGAAAAGGGCGGCGATTGGGTCCGTGCCTGTGTAGTTGGACAACCGGCTTGCAACTCTTACTGCGGTCGGGTTTGGCCCGCCTACGACGTCGTGCATGTAGAACTGCATTCTGGTGATGCTGCGTTTCAAGCCCTCTGTGGTAGGGGTACAACACGTTAATGCAAGAGTTGCAATGAGAAGAAGGAGCTTGCTAGTCACAGCAGCCATGGCGGATTCTTCTTTCTTTCAATTTCTGTGGCTGCCAATAATGCAGATTGTAATATATGCGTCTATATGTATATGTATACGTGTATATATAGATCCACTCATCCACACTATGTTTTTCAAGGGCAGAATGGTCCATGATGTTAAATTCTGGTAGGCTTTTCACGGATGTAGAAGAACGTTGTTCCCCTTCAAATACGTTGGGCTAGAATATATCTTCCAGAATATTACTTTGCATGTAAGTTTGAAACCTAAACGTCACGCTTATGGACTACTCACTGTTTCTTCTGCCATTTCAAATAATTTGAACATAAGTGATTGGTTGGTGATCATTCAATTTGGCAAAGAATAATATTTCTGCAAAACAATGAAATTAGGCAATTTATAATGTCAAAAGAATACAATGAAAGTCAAAATTAGGCAAGTGATTTTCGCATAAAAAATGAGAATCACATGTCTATTTTTCTCCATACAAACCTCTTTTTTATTACGTTGTTTATAATTGATTTATTTATTATGTGGATAAAAAATACGAACTTCTTTTTAATCATGTTCGTTGTTTACATTTAATTTATTCAATTTGATGATAAAAAATAAAGAAAAGTGAGTAGAAGAAGAAAAAAATGTAATTATCATTTATTTTCTCACTTGCCTAACATTCCCCCCCTTTTTCTAGTCTTCAATAGTAAAAATAGAAAGAAAATAAAATTGACCGGCATAAACAAAGAGGGGTTTAAGATATAAAATTACTATTGCAAAAGAAAATTAAGAAATTAAGCAATTAACTAAATAAGGGTATAAAAAGTCAACAAAATAAACAAGGATTGGTGTTGATGAGCATGATGAGTGATTGGAGGAGAACATTACGGACATGTAACCTCGATTGCAAAACTAAATGCTTTTAACCAGTTAAGTTTTTTTTTTTTTTTGAACAAACGATATTTCTACTTTAGGGTTGGAAGAGTGAAGTAAACCTCACAATGGGCTAGTAATAATGTGGTTCAAATTCGTCTTTGACGGAAATAGAACTTAAGACCTTTCACTTACAAGTGAATCATAAATAAAGAAAAGTGCATAGAAGAAGAAAAACTGTAATTATCATTTTTTTTCTCACTTGCCTAACATTCCCCCCCTTTTTCTAGTCTTCAATAGTAAAAAAAGAAAGAAAAGAAAATTGACTGGCATAAACAAAGAGGGGTTTAAGATATAAAATTACTATTGTCAAAGAAAATTAAGAAATTAAGCACTTAACTAAATAAGGCTATAAAAAGTCAACAAAATAAACAAGGATGAGTGTTGATGAGCATGATGAGTGATTGGAGGAGAACATTAAGGACATGTAACCTCGATTGCAAAACTAAATGCATTTAACCAGCTAAGTTTTTTTTTTTGAACAAACAATATTTCTACTTTAGGGTTGGAAGAGTGAAGTAAGCCTCACAATGGGCTAACAATAATGTGGTTCAAATTCGCCTTTGGTGGGAATAGAACTTAAGACCTCTCACTTACAAATGAAGAGGAATACTACTAAACTGTAGTATTAAGGCCTACTTCAACCTTTGGAGTAAATTCAAATTTTAGGTTCTAAACTTACTCCAATTTGCTCCAATCCTGGAGGCAATATATGAGTTTTAACGCAAAACTCATTTCTGGGGAAAATTTAGGCCATGATTCCCCCCGTTTAGTGGGCTGGCCAGTCATATATGTGCAATTTTTTAGTTTTATATTTATAAATTCATTGAATCCAACAACTAAGATCTAATGTGATCAAATCCAACTATAAAAAAAAAAGATTTAACGGTCCAAATTTAAATCCAGCGGCTAAAATAATAATAAAAAAATTCTTTAATAAGTTTCATATTCATTCATAGTGTCCCACGAGTTTTATGGATTCAATTTAGTGATTTTTTTAATATTTATCGGAATCTAAATATTTTTATGTTAAAATGTTCATAAAATTAAATTAGAATAGTCTATATAATTTTTTTTTAAAACGTTAGTTGAACAAAAAAATTATCCTAAAATTATTCTTTAATAATCTCGGGCTAAAAATTTAACTGAAAAGAGTTGAAGTAGAAAAATTATTTCTGGATTAAAAATTTTAGATTTTAACCAAGGGTTGAAGATAGTCTAAATAACTCTTAACCAACTGAATTACCTGAAAGTTTGTTAGCATGATTGATAAAAAACTGGCCCACAAGATACACAATTGCCATTGGGTTTTTGATGTTCCCTTGGGCCTAGGATAGAACATCATTTGGGCCTAGTGAAATGTCACGTGTCAAGCTCCAAAACCGCACGTGACCTGCGTCAAATAAAAGTTGCAATCACAGAGAGAGAGAGAGAGAGAGAGTGACAGCCTGAAATTCCCCCGCCAAACCCAAAAGGCAAAAAAACCAGAAGAAACCCTTGCTGCCAGTGAGAATTCCGAAGCTTGAGAGAGAAGCAATTGGAGCATGGCGGAAGGCCAGATTGAGATCCAGGTCCGTGCGCTGGAAGGCAAACCGGCCACGGTTTCGGTCCCGGTCGACGAAACCATCGACGGCCTCAAGCTCCTTCTCAAGCAATTTTTCCCACCCGCCAAAAACTCCCCCAATTTTCACCTTTTCTTCAAGGTAGCAATTCTTTCTCTCCTTCGCTTTGTTTTCAAATTAGGGTCTTTTACATTTAAGTCTTTGACGGGATTACACTTAAGAGAAAGCACTTCAAAGCGGAATACTTTATAAAAACACCCTTCTTAATTTGGAGAACATGGGAAATGTTGCAATTTACTATCTTTTTGGTGTGTAATTGTGTGTCAGGGTGAGAAGTTGAGGCTGCAGAGTCAGATTGGAAGGCTCAACATTCGTCCGGGTGAGTTTCTAGTGCTTGCCCCATTTACTAAGAAAGACCCGAATTGTAATGAGACCCCGAAATCTGAACAAACGAAAACACCAGCGAATTGTCCTAGTAAAAGCTCGATTAAGAAGTTTGCCGATTCGGCGTGGTCTGATATGATGGAAGACTTAACCTTTTTACATGACAATTCAAATGATAAAACTCCGAAGGGGCCTAGTGTAGGAAGTTTCAATCTTGGAGGTAGAAGTGAGGTAAATGATGAAGCCGCTAGTTCTCGCGCTTGTGGAGCAAAGAGAAAAATGGGAACTTTTGATTGTGATGACATTGTATTGGATATATTGCGTTCTAGTATAAACGGAAATGTCCTTGATGAACAGAATTTTAAAAGGTTTATTGAGGTTTTGGAGACGGTGAGTTGTTTATCAGACCCTTATTCCCGGGACTGCTTGTTGTGGAGAAGAGCTGTTTTGCGGCAACAGGGCTTTGGCACTGGACTGCATAAAGGCAATAGTAGTTCATGCTTGTGTCCAGCGTGGTTGAAGATAATCATGAAGGCATTTGCTTTCTTAAACACTTTTTCTGCATTTCTTCAATTACAGCAGGCGAGAACAACCTCAATCATTTTGGAGCAAGCATTGCACCAGCTTGGGAGATTTGGAGTTAGGCTTGGTATGAAGGACATAGAACATCTTTCCATTATTTCTCCTAAGGTAATTTATGTCGCTGTTTGAACACACTGAGTGTAATATAATCTTTGCCATCTGGTTTTTTGTTAATGCAGGTAGTACATCTTTACTGTGTGTAATATAATCTTTGCCATCTGGATCTTTGGTAATGCAGGTAGTACATTTTGCAAATGAGAATGCAGAGCTGGAAGGTTCTGGTAATGTGCTTGTTATTATCAATGGTTCAACAGGACAGAATGGTCGAAATGAAGATCATCATAAATATGGTATTGTGAAGATGTGCGATATATTTTTTTTTTATACCATTTCCAGAGTTTTCTAAAATAAATATATGGGCTTTTAACTGGATAGTTTTGTTTACATATGGTCATGTTCATGTTTGCTAGCTTGCAAGCAAATGGATATTTCAAAGATTATCAGTATATCGAAAATACGGGAAAGTTCTTTCAGAAGTAATTTGTGGGAGGCTGTAGAGTTGTTAATGGTATGTCTAATTGTTCTCTCTCTCTCTCTCTCTCTCTCTCTCTCTCTCTTTCTCTCTCTATGCCTGTGTTTTATGAGCATTATTAGTGTTCTAATCCTATAGATTACAACTTGATATGAATTTTCATGGCAGTTTAAAACTGGAAATGAGACTTCCATGGATTTTTCCTTGGAAGACTTGCTCAAATCAGTGAAGGAATGTGGTCCTGCTGCAAGAGGAAATGAAGCAAAGCGACTAAGGGTAACACGTGCAGCTTCAAATAATTATTTTGACCGAAATCAATCTAAAGCTTCAAGAAAACATCGATGTTGTGTAGGTTTTCAACTTTTCATCCTCAACTTACTTTATTCAGGTTCCGTTTTTGTGTTTTCCTAGTTTATCATAAGTTGTATGTTCAATCTTCATACTCTACAGAGGTGGAAAAATAAAATAGAAGGTGATATCAATTCAGTATCATCTAATTAACTTGTAGAGAGTTGACATGTTTTTGTACTGTAATCCAACATTTGTGCCCTTGGTGAATTTACCGGTGTTTGTACCATACTTGACCAATCCCGAAACTACTGAGCACCAGTCAACGTTATACCGTCAAGGACCCAGAAGAGTTTCCCTCCAACCAGGAGGCCAATCATAGCGCGACACGTGTCGACATCAGAAGCCAATCATAGCGCGACACGTGTCAACATCAGAAGCCAATCACAACACGACGCGTGTCAATGTCAGAATGAAACTAGAAACTCTCTTCTATAAATAGAGATCATTCTCTCACAATATTTCTTAATGTCATTTGTACTAAATCATTCACTAGTACTCACTAAAGGAGAGCTTGAACCTATGTACTTGTGTAAACCCTTCACAATTAATGAGAACTTCTCTACTCTGTGGACGTAGCCAATCTGGGTGAACCACGTACATCTTGTGTTTGCTTCCCTATCTCTATCCATTTACATACTTATCTACACTAGTGATCGAAGCAATTTAGTGGAGGTCACAGACTTAACATTTTCTGTTATACTAAAGTCCCCATTGATTTTGTGCATCAACAACTGGCATACTAACTGGTGCCTCCATCCAGTTAGTACCTAAAGGAAGAGGAGATTGCATTTGATCCAATAGCCATTGGTATTAATACATGTAGAATAGAAGTTGCTTAGTATTTAGAAAAAGGCTGCAATTATCGTTAGATGTTCTTTAACTGCCTACTAATGTGATAATGAATGACAATAACACCTGATGGAGGATTTCTACCTACAGAAAAGAAGTGGTAGCAGATCCTTGACTAATGGACGTTAATTGTTTTGTTATGTCTCACTGGAGTTATCAATATCTTTTGATCTTCAAAGTGCGGAGTTCTTTTTGTATGCTCTGAGAGATGACACTATTGTAATACTATTTTGTCTCAACAGTTAACAGGTTCATTCCAACCAGAGGAGATGATTAAACATCTTAGAGAGGGACTTGGATCGAAAGGACAGGTTTTCTCTACACTTTTCTTGTAACTTTTTGTTTAATTTTGGGAAATGAAAAGGTGAAATACACAAAAATTTGAAGTAGGGAAGTTAGAAGCTCTGTAGGATAATCACTTTGGGTTTTTGGAAGATATGAAACATTTTCCAAATAAAATATTTGTTCACAACTTATACCCCTAAGGCTCATTTGGATCTGGCATGTTGTCATGTCTCTAACAGTAAGTACATTGTAACCTCTGCTAATGCTGCACTGTGAAACTGTGGATGCAGATAGTGCATGTTGAAGACATTAGTGCTCGGAGAGCCGCTTATGTAGAAGTTCTACAAGAACTATCTGAAAACATGAGATCTGCACTTCGTAGCACTGGAATCACTCAATTATATACTCATCAGGTATGGATATTTTCTAGGCTACATGCTACTGCCCTTCTGAGGAAAACCAGCTGGTTAATGTGTTTCAACTTTTTTTTTTCCTCATGATATTTACAGGCAGAGTCAATACAAGCCTCACTTTCTGGGAAGAATGTTGTTGTGGCAACAATGACATCGAGTGGGAAATCTCTTTGCTACAATCTGCCGGTCTTAGAAGCCTTGTCCCACAGTTCATCTGCATGCGCTCTATATTTATTTCCAACAAAGGTTGTACATAGGATGCAAAAACCATCTTCTTTGGTCTTGCGTTTGATAACAAATAAGTTTTTTTTTTAATTTTTTAATTTTTTTTATAAATCTCAATTATTTATGATGCAGGCTTTAGCTCAGGATCAACTAAGAAGTTTGTTGGCTATGACCAAAGGATTCAATTGTGACTTAAACATTGGTGTATATGACGGTGACACTCCTCAGGAGGAGAGGACATGGCTGCGTCAAAATGCTAGGCTGGTGATTTTTGGCATTTTACTTAGTTTGCTTCCTCTCCTAAGTTTATGCTGAAATTCTTATCTGCTTGAATGTAGCTAATCACAAATCCAGATATGTTGCATGTATCACTCCTGCCATACCATAAAGGATTTCGGCGGATTTTGGAAAATCTCAGGTATTATATCTTGGACTTTCACGAATCGTTTCTGTCACCAGGTGATTCATCTATCTGTGTGCGCGTGTGTTTGCATGCCATGCTCTTACGTTTCTTTGGTGTTTTATGATTTAAGTTATTTTAACGGGTTATTTGAGCAGTATGTAGTTTTATTGGTATATTATTACATTAATTATACCACAGAGATTGATTTCATATTTGATATGTTAGGTTTGTAGTCATTGATGAGGCACATGTGTATAAGGGGGCATTTGGTTGTCATACTGCTCTAATATTAAGGAGACTTCGCCGGCTCTGCTCACATGGTATATCTTTCCCTTTGAGTTTACAAAATATGGGACTTTTTTGTTTACTTTCCATTGAAATTGGAAAGCTAAATAGCTGTTTGTTTCTTTGCAGTATATGGAAGTGATCCTTCTTTTGTGTTTTCTACTGCAACTTCGGCAAATCCTCATGATCATTGCATGGTAAAGATTTTCAATTAGAATTATAAAATCATTTATCTCATTATACAAAGTTCGACATTGATGGGTTTTTTTTTATTTGATGATTTTCATCTTGTGCCTTTATGAGCTTGTTCTCAATAGTATGCAATTATCTTGATTTGATGAGTAAAAGAAACGAAGACCGCCTGGAGTTTAGAAAATAAATTTGGTTTATCATTGTATAATTTTGTTTCAGCACATAGCCTTGTTGGTGCGGAAGCTCAACCTGTATAGTTTTGGGGTGTTGAGAAGACATTTAAACTAACTAGACGAATTTTGTGCATGCATATGTTCCACTTGTTGAATTGTATTGTTAGGTTGCTGAGAAGAGTTGTCAATTTCTCCTATTCTGATTCTTCAGGAACTTGCTAGTCTACCAACTTTAGAGCTGATTCAGAATGATGGAAGTCCGTCTGCAAGAAAGCTTTTCGTCCTTTGGAATCCTATTGCGAATCTACAAAGACAAACTGTTGGTGTTCTATATCCTATTTTTTGTGTTCAACTCAGATATTAGTTAATTTGCTAAAGCCTAGTGTTGTTTCTTTACAGACGTCGACGACAACCAATAATATTATGGATAATGGTAACTCTGCTGTTGAAAATGCTAATCCCCATACTTCAAGGTAAAAGCTTGCTATATATATAGGCCATGCAGAATGAGAGTAATTTCTTTAACCATGATCTGTGGTTTTGCATGCCATTCTAAATCTGAGTTAGCAATGAGAGTAGCTTGAAAAGTTTTATACTATGTGATTTTTCCCATCTTTGGACTGCCATAGTTTTAATGCCTCTTTTTCTTTCCCTGATAATTTAAGAGGCATCCAGGGCATGAGCATGGTCCCTAAGAAGGTTGATCTGTCTCCATAGGGCAGTTTGAGTGGCTTGGTTGCTAAGAATGATTACATGCCTCCTAGCTCCTGTGAAGTAGACATTTAGCATATTTCATACTAAGTAGTGGTGTATCTTAGTAGTTAAATTAAGCTGCTTACTTGGAATTTCGTTGGACCTTACCATGTGATACACTGCTAGTACCTTAAAATTCTGGTATTCACTTCTGTTTCTCTCAATATTTTTTTGGCCAAATCGTGATGCAGATTTCTTTTTGTGGTTTTGGAACCTCAACACCTGATGCATTAATTAATCTTTGCAGCCCAATGATGGATCTTTCATGCCTCTTCGCTGAAATGGTACAGCATGGTCTACGTTGCATTGCGTTTTGCAAATCACGCAAGCTTTGTGAACTTGTGTTGTGCTATACGTATGTATAATTAATCACTTTCGTTTTTTTCAGTACTAAATGCTACATGATATGATTAAAGATTTATGGCATTGTTAGCCCCATGGTTTTGTTATTTACCTTGTGTTTGGACTTACTGCTAATATAGTCAAGATGGTTTATTTCATGAAATAAATTAATATAATTCTGCAGGCGTGAGATTCTTCTGGAGACCGCACCCAATTTAGCGGATTCTATATGTTCTTATCGTGGTGGTTACGTTGCAGAGGTTAGTAAAAGCTGTTCGCCCCGCATTATGTTCTGCCAGTATGTGATTTTGGTTCAGGTATACAGCTGGTTTTTAATTGATTGACTGATGGAGCAGGATAGGAGAAAGATAGAGAGGGATTTTTTCAATGGAAAACTTTGTGGTATCGCTGCAACAAATGCCCTTGAATTGGGTATTGATGTTGGACACATAGATGCAACTCTTCATTTGGGTTTTCCTGGTAGTATATCTAGGTATAGTTCCAGGCCATCAATGCTTTAGCTTATTGTTCAAATTGTTACGATTTAGTATTTTATTGCTTTCCATAATTGTTTGCTCTTTTCTGTCTTTGTTAATAGCTTGTGGCAACAAGCTGGCAGGGCTGGAAGGAGAGAGAGACATTCTCTTGCAGTGTATGTTGCATTTGAAGGGCCCCTTGATCAATACTTCATGAAACAACCAAATAAACTTTTTGGAAGCCCAATTGAGCGCTGCCATGTCGATGCTAAGAACCAAATGGTTTTAAATTTTCTATCATCAATATTCCTTCCATTTGTTCGTGTCTAAAGAAATGGCGATAATGATTTGGTGCTTCTTGATATCTGTTTCCTTGTAGGTTCTTGCACAGCATTTGGCTTGTGCTGCTCTAGAACACCCCCTGAGTTCGTCTTATGATGAAAGGTTTTTCGGCTCTAGTATGAACAGTGCCATAGTACCTCTTAAAAATAAAGGGTATTTGAGTCTTGATCCATCGTGTAATTCGTCTGCCGAGATTTGGAACTATACTGGGCAAGAGGTACACAATTTCTTTGCATTATCTGAGTTGATTTTTCCGTTCTTTTGGTTATAGTTTCTTTCCCTCTTGTAGCATATGCTCCTGTGAGCTCTGTGTATATATTTTAAGGAAGATTGGCTTTGGTTTTTAACATGACATTATTTGTGCATATTTTTCTAGAAAATGCCTTCACGTTCAGTAAGCATCCGATCAATAGATTCTGAGAAATACAAAGTTATAGACCAGCAAAAGAAAGAAATCCTTGAAGAGATCGAGGAGGGCAAGGCTTTCTTTCAGGTAAACTATAATGCACATTAACAGTACATTTGCTATCTTGTTGGAAATGTATCAAGTATTCTGCACACCCCATTTATATCTTTACTAATTTTCTTTTGACAATTTAATGATACTTCACTCCAGGTATATAAAGGTGCTGTTTATATGAACCAAGGAAATACATACCTGGTCACAAGCTTAGATACTTGGAGTAAGGAAGCTTTATGCAAAGCAGCTAAGTTGGATTATTACACAAAACCCCGTGATTGCACAAGAGTTCATATCATGGGCGGTAATATGGTATGTCAGCTCTTGACATTTGTTTGTTGTTCCTGAATGCCTTTCCATAAATTGCATGAGTCAATCTGGCGATTGGAAATGCATGATGGTCTTGTAACTCAGAATTTGGATACTAATACAGGAACAGATAAGTTTTTATGTTATACAGGATTATTGTTAGATATTTGGAGTAGGCTCATATATCTGATATCAAAGTATTCAATAGTACACCCTTTCTGGATTGCCCATATCTCTCCCCCATACAATGAGGAGGCCAGCATTCAGCTTTGGCTGCTGTTCAGTGCCTTGAAACAGTTATCTCTGCAATTTTTCAATTCATTAACTTGGAATTTTGTTTTTGTTTATGTCTCATACTCCTCTCTATGGCATTTCATCATGCTTATGAGTTATGATGATTTCAAAACGCTCACCTGCTACATGTCCTGGTGTTGTAGGCTCATCCACCTAAGGTTTCCAGAACATCTGCCCGAACAGATTCTTGCAAAGTAACAACTAGATGGTTTGGATACTTTAGCATATGTAAAGCAACGCACGAGGTACTTGAATCAGTTGAACTTAAACTTCCGGAATATACTTATGAGTCACAGGTAAACCTGAGTACTTTTTAACTTTGTCAATGGTTCTATTGTTTGGTGTTTTTTAACTTTGAATTGTTGTTTGGTTCTTTTGTATATATAAAATGTTTCATCGTTTTATCCAAACAGGCAGTGTGGGTTCCAGTTCCACATTGGATAAGAGAATCAGTGGAGGCGAAAGACCTTGATTTCCGTGCTGGACTGCATGCTGCAACACATGCTGTTCTACACGTTGTGCCTTTGTGAGTCCCTTACGTTTCTCTTTCTTATATAACATTCTTGTTAGCCATTGAGATTTTCTTAAGAATTTAAAGCATCTGACTGCATTGTGATGCTTGATGTTGTCATGTGCAGACGGATAATATGCAACTTATCTGACTTGGCTCCAGAGTGTCCATACCCTACTGACAAATCCTATTTTCCAGAAAGGATTCTATTATATGACCAGCATCGTGGAGGGACTGGTGTCTCTGTACAGGTGAGTTCGATGAAACTTTGTTCAAATTCGTAAATCATCAGAAGATAGCTTTGTTCCAACTCCCTGGCTTGGTTTCCGGAGATAATGCTGACCTCTGGACAGCAATATGTATGTTGACCCTCTGTTGAAACTGATATACTTGGACATGTAATAGGTTCAACCGATATTTATGGAGCTCTTTACTCCTGCTATCGAACTTCTTTCGTCTTGCAGCTGCTCAAGATCTGGTGGCTGCCCTAACTGTGTACAAGTATGTCTCACATTCTCTATATTTATCCTCTCTCTCTCTCTCCCCCCATGAAGTAACTTCAAACATTTTGCGTCTCAGAGTTTTGCGTGCGAGGCATATAATGAAGATTTACATAGGGAGACAGCAATTATGATCCTTAAGGTGGTTGTTGTTGTATCCGTTTATGTTAGTTTGTCTCCCGTCATTGTGTTGACTGGTTTTCTTGTCCATTCAGGGTGTTCTTGAAGAAGAAAACTTAAACACGCGGGGATCTCCCGAGTCATTGAAATCTTCGGTGAAGCAAGACGGAAGTAGAGGAACTGGCAATGGGTACCTACAACCGTCACCGTCACCACCACCACCACATCCCTAACGCTAAATGGGATACTGACCGGATTAACTTCATTCTTTCGAATTCTCGGTATATAGAACAATAAGGTTTACAAGCTTTGCAGTTTTATTTTATTTTATTTGGTCGAAACAAGCTTTGTAATTTCTCAGCCCCTGTAGTCTACGTTGTAGTATTTCTTGATGGAATGTTTTATATAAGGCTAAACTGGGATTAGCGTTAGAAATAGGGAACTTTAACGAAAAACTTTTGGTACTGTTTACTTTAACTAAAAACCACATTTTTACACTAAGAAGTCAATCTTGATACTATTCACTTTACCCTTTATTTTGTCCTTATCGTTAAAACTTTAAGTTTTCAAGTTCTTTTCATCAGTTTTGTTTTAGAATTATTCTGATTCTTGACCCAGTACTATATTGTGCCATCAAAGCTTTTACGGCATGTTTATTTTTATGGAATGCGAATTAGAATTATTTCGATTCTTGAATTATTGTGTTTACTAAAACAGCAGATTATTCTAAATTTCTAATTCTTCATGAGTTAAAAAAGTAAGAATTTTATATTAGAATTCGTAATCCTACACCTAAAAATTTGGAAACAGAGAAATTATGTGAGCTAGTTGGTTTCGTATTAATTTCATTTCTCGATTCATGACTCCCCTCTCGTTGAAAAACATATCAATAATTTGATTCTCTACTTTGGTTAGAAACATGTAGAAACTAGTTTAGCTATAAAAAAAATTATTGTAAAAAATATAAAAAAAAACAAAATTAAAAAAGCAGAATAAAAGTGTCCAGCATTTTGTATTCTGTGAAACCATAAAAAAATTATTGTAAAAAATAAAAAATAAAAAAAAATGGCCCATGCAGGTCTCGACCTGCGACCTTCGCGTTATTAGCACGACGCTCTAACCAGCTGAGCTAATAGGCCAATTTTGGTGGTTTTAACGTTTATATAAATTTAGAAAAAGCTCCTTTTCAAAAAAAAAAAAAAAACAAAATTTAGAAAAAGCTGACGTATTATATGCGAATATTTTTCGCTTACCACAAGCCCTTTACAAAGATGAGAAGGAAGAAACTCCAGACGCTGATGGTGATAGTAAACTTGGGACTGTTAGCTTCTGCAACTTCTACTAGCGGATTAGTCAACAAGATGGTTGGCCGGATTGGTGACACGCCCATCATTGGTGCATGGACATATGCCAACAATCTCTGCGAAGTTTCTGCTACGGCCAAAGCCGAAGCAATTATTCGTGGCACGGTTGCAAGGGATGTGGCAGCTCTTATGGAGTTCAAAGGTGTTTCTCTCATAGAAGCACCAGATTATGTCGCGGTCGTGGAGGAGGGTGCTCCAAAAGGAAATGTAGGGCTGGTTGCTGTGTCTGCCGTAGGTGAAGTCACCATATATGCCTTTCAATACCACCGGTATGTTTCGAGCTTGCGCCACTGAGGAACAGCCCCGGCCCTTGACCAGCAACCAAGGATGGTTAGCAATGCAGTTGGAATGTTTTGATAATTTATATGTTGAAATGATAATTTGAATTGGAAGTTTTTGTTATCTGGCGTGTAGGTAATTATCCAAAATATTTTTATTGAAGCTATTTCTTTTAGAAATCAACTCTCTAGTAATTATCTAAAATTGAAATTATTAAAATTTTACTTGCAGACCTCTTTAATTCAAAATGGGCTAAATAGATTATGAATCTGATGAATTGAAAAGAATTCGGTATGATACTCGAATTATGATGCTATAATTGTTGTTGGTTTTGCTTCAAAATGCAAGAAAACGATTTCTTAAATGTCGAAATTTCAAGGAGTTGTTTTGCTTGAAGTGGTTGCATATGATTTTGCGGATATGATATTTTCATGACTGGGTCAAGTCCATGAATTAAGGGAACACTAAACACATTTGCATCCACAAATTGACCCTATAAAATGTCGTGGTTCTTGTGAATTAGATTAATTAATTAAAAGATTAATTGTTTCGTGTCATTTAATTAGATTATGGCTTCTGTCTCTCTTGGTGTTGATCAAGAAATTATCTCAACCCTCCCTAAAGACACAGGCTGGGCAGCTGAGCATTACTACCAGTACCAGAACTTCTGGTACCCCCAGGTTTTTCTTGAAGGTGTGATTTGGGCACAACAGGATTTTAGGGCTAGGGACTCTGACGTTTTCCTGGCCACCTTTCCCAAGTGTGGTACAACATGGGTGAAGGCTCTCATGATTGCCATAAAAAACCGGAAAGACTGCGATTATTCGTCACATCCATTACTCACAAAGAACCCTCATGATATTGTGCGCTACATAGAGTTGCTTGTTCACCAAGACAATCCAGTTGAGTATCTCGACTCTATGGCCTCACCTAGATTGCTTGCAACCCACGTCCCTCACTCATCGTTGCCGAACTCCGTTTTGGATTCAGATACACGGGTTGTGTACGTTGCAAGGAACCCGAAAGATGTTCTCGTTTCTTTATGGGCATTTTCCGAAAAACTAAGGTCGAAGGTATATAGACTCCCTCCTCTCCCTCTAGAAGAAGGATTTGAGTTGTTTTGCAAAGGGGTTGCACTTGCAGGCCCGTTTTGGGATCATGTACTAGGGTACTGGGAAGCAAGCTTGAAAAACCCTAATAAGGTGCTATTTTTTAAGTTTGAGGATTTGAAAGCTGATACAGAAGGATACGTAAAGAGGTTGGCAGAGTTCATAGGATATCCATTTTCTTCAGAAGAAGAGAAAGAAGGGGCTGTGCAAGAAATAATAAAGTTTTGCAGTTTTGAGAACTTGAGTAGTTTGGAGGTGAACAAAAGTGGGACGTATCATGTGGGGCCGAAAACCGATGAAAAATTCAGCAACGATGTCTTCTTCAGACGAGGGGAGACCGGAGATTCACAGAAGCACCTAACGCCTGAGATGCTCGAGCGTCTTGACAAAATCACAGAGCAAAAGTTTGGGGCATCTAATTTGAAGTTTTAGAAACTTAACGAGTAAGGGTAATATGTAATAGTTTGGGGCGTTTGGTTTCTACCCATGCGTCTCGGGTTTGAACCTTTCCCTTATGCTAAATTAATGTAATAGTTTTGAATTCTTCCCCTCTCCTTAATATTAGTAGTTAAAAAAAAATCACTCCATGGACTAGTCCATGAGCTTGAAATTATGCAGAATTCTTGCATATCCAAAGTAAACTAATAAATGCTCCAACACAAAAATGCATTGTCGAGAGGCATATTGATGTGAGATCATAACTAAGCAAGTTTTCTTGAGTATTTATAGACACTCAGTACCGACACATATTTGACTGTTTGATTTATCCAACGGCTTAAACTAAGTGACTAATGACTTGGAAGAATTGAAACACATGCATTAATTAATTGCTATTTAGTGCCAAATAATTAGAAATTATTATCTTAGCTAGGCAGTGTTCCAGCTTTTGTCTTTCGGAATGCTTGGCAGTAACACTTGAGCTCAAGTAGTAATATCTCGGTTGGCTTTGTCTTCCGTCTCATCGTCATTGGAGATATTGTGGCATGCCTCAGAACTAATTGGGAGGCTGAAGACCTGATAATCCGATAAGGATTCAGGACCTAAAGTTTACAGGTTTAGGAAACCTTTTATATGGGGAAGGAATATCCATTGCACCATATAAATTGAATAATGCTTGAGTTCCCTCCTCAACTTATAATTAACATATCTTCACTGCAGGAACTTTGTTCATACTCTTTATCATCACTTAACAATCATATATGCACAAAAATAATTCAATTTGAAGATCGTTTAAACATTCATATGCATCAAACAAATGGACGGTTCATTATGAGGATGATACTTGTCGATTGGTTTGACACGCATGGATGTGACTAAACGCTCTTCAAATTGAATGATTTTTTTCCCAGATATAATCATTAGATGATAAAAAGTATGAACGGTTCCAATTATGAAATTCGTATGGTGAAAATACATTAATCATAAATAGGGGGATAAGTAGATTCCCATGAGTGGCACAAAACTATTATCCATATAAATTTTCTTACTCAAATTTTGAACCATTAGATTAAGAGATATTATTTTAATGGCCGATGTTAGAGAGACTAAATTTGTAGACTAAATTTTAGAAACTAAAGGACATGTAAGTTGATGATTGGTTTATTACTTAAGCATTGATAAACGTATTCATTTCTATTGGTGACAAATCATTTAGTTTACAAATTTAGTCGCCCTAGCATTACCCTAATTAAATATACTGGCATTCAACCCATAGGGTGCACTGCCTAAGAGTTGATAAACGTGTTCATTTCTATTGGTAACACATTTAGTTTACAAATTTTGTCTCCAAATTTAGTCGTCTTAACATTACCCTAATTAAATATACTGGCATTCAACCCATAGGGTGCACTGCCTTATCCGCCATTTGTGAATTACATATTTTCATCATACGAATCAAAACTATTCGTTTTCTTAATTATCTTTCAAAGATCATCTTTGCAAAAAGTCATTTGAACTAGAAACCGCTTAGTTATCTTTACATACCAAATAAATAGATGATTAATCATAAATATGTTATTTGGTACCAACTCTAAATTTGTTCTACACATGAATAACTAAACGATCTTCGATTTGATTGGTATTTTATATAGATGATGTTCGAACCGATTCCAAGTTCTCCCGTTCTGTTAATAGAAGGGCTGCAAATGAGAGATTCGGAATAAACACACGATGAGCAAATTATAATTAATTAGTATCGAACTCGTCAACCTCAAGACCTTCCACTTACGAGTGACGGCAAACGATCAATTAATTAACAATATTTAACAGAAAATTTCATTTCTTCCTTTCTCAGGCCATCGTAGAAGGAAAAGATTAAAAAAAATAAAAACAACTCCACAATTCTACAGTTTGCAGAGGGGGGAAAAAGAAAACCCCATCAGGCAAAAATCAATTTAAACTTTGTAATTGTATGAAAACAATGCTCTTTTTCTTTCAGAAAACTATGATGCAAAAGGAAAACTGTCTAGCAAAATTCAAAATTTTCTACTTCTGACTTTACAATAACGGCGATCATATTTTCCGGCACCGCCAAGAGTTTAAAAGTCGTGAAGATCGCATGAATTACGAGCAATCGAGAAGCAGCACATTCTAGCTTGTGACACAAGCTTGCAGAAATGGGTGGCTTTGATTAACATACCGCTCCCAGAGAGGCTTATACCTGCCGATGGCCAACTTCAGCCACGGCTTCATGTACCCGTTAAAGTGAACCACCGCTGCACTCTCAATCAATCGGTTGTCAATGTTCAGATCATACCCCAGTCCTAATACATGCCATCTCCTGTCAAGCGGCTCTGTCAGACCGTAAAATGTTAGAAGGCCGGGCGGAAGAGTGCCCAGCCTCCAAAGTGTCCCATCAGCATTCTGCTCCTGCCAGTAATGATACCGTGCAGTTACATTTGCTTTCTTCCAAGCAATTAAATCAAAGACATTCATACCGAAGGCCCATCCACATGCCTGTGGATCAAACTTGGCGCTGATGATTGGGTTTGAGAAATTGAGATACTTGTAATAACGATGAAATGCTTCAAGACAAGTTTCCACTGCTCCATTCACATGTCCATGCAAATCCAATGAGAAAAGTGGGGTCAGATCCTTCTGGACAACAACGTCATCATCAAGAAAAACAACCTTCTCCAGCTGTGGATAGATCTCTGGAATGTAGAATCGAAGGTGATTGAGCAAAGATTGATACTTAGGGCTCCGCAGCTTTGGCACAACATCCATATCTTGATATCCACCAAAATCTCGCGAATCTGCATCAAGGAGCTGTTTCACGATAGGAGCATAAGAAGCATTAAACCAAGAAAATTCGTCAACATTCTGCACTTCAATTGTGGACCCTTTGAAATCATTACTTTGGAACCACGCCTGCATTGTGCCATAGTTGATCCCATTTGTGACAATGTGGAAGACCAGCTGTTTTGGATGGTCAGCATTTAACACGGTGGAGTTAACAACCACAGAAGTGGCAACCACATTGTCTGAAAATATGCAGAAATGGTAGATATTGTTGTCCATGAGTCTGGGGGAATTCCTCTTCTCATCTGCAAGTTGTTGCAGAGATGGCTTTTTAAGCCAATCAGCTGTGAGCTTAACATTTAGGCAATGGAGGTTTTTGGGTAATGCTTCAGCAGCTAGTTGCCCGAATACCATGCTTTGAACTGCTGCAGCATTTGCACGCTCTTCAAGGGCTTGGATATGAGATTTCATTGTCATTATTGTGGTTATGTCATAATGTGCATCTTCGGCTCTTAATATAAGATATGATAGGCTTTTAATTATTGGCTCCGCTTCCTCTAATGTCACAGGCTCCCCCCTCATGGCAGCTGTTGACAGTAAAAGCTGGCAACTCCGGATCTTTGAACTAAGCTCCCAAGCAAGATGAAGGTTATTGTGCTCTTTGGCAATAATAACATAAGCTTTGGCAAGTGTCATTTGCTCAGCCAGCTGCCTGGAAAACGATCTAGCACTCAATATTTCTTCAGTAAAATTTAAACTCTCATGAGCAACCTGCTCAAGTCTCGTATTTCTCTCCTGCAAAACGGCAGTCACATTCAAGTAAAACACTGAACAAAGCGACAAGCCACATCACAAAGTAATAAAAGTCAATTCACATCAACCTAGGAGGAAATGCTCGGGGCCTCGCTTCCAATTCCAACACTACTAAACCAAACTAAAGATAGTGCATAAATATGACATACAAAGCATGAAAATGTTGCTAAACCAAATAGCTAGCTCAATGTGAAAAGTGATGAACAGATTATTCATCATCTGTTATCAACAAAACACAAATTCAGACATTTTCCTCTAGAGACCATCTAAACTTTGACATTAGTTGTCAAATTACGTCTATAAGTATGGGGTGAGAGTTCAGCTGCATATAAGCCACAATGTCATATTGTTATATAAGCCACAATGTCATATTGTTAATTCAAGTTAGCGTACCACTCGTATCACTAGAATTTTCCCAAATATGGAATTTTCTTATTGTGCTCTCTCTGATGCACATTATAATTGGACGAACAGATAAAACCATAGTCAAATGGTCAGAAGTTCTATACTCCAAAGGTATATTTTGGCGGGAACTTAAACATGGGAAACAGTTAGATCTCTAAAGTCAAGTAGCACATGGGAAAACTTTTCAATGAGATACAAAAAGTCATACCAAAAAGGTCGTACCCAGTGCACAAGGCTCCCACTTTACGCAGGGTCTGGGAGAGGTGAATGTCGGCTAGCCTTACCCCCATTTATGAAGAGGCTGCTCCCAAGTCTCGAACCCGAGACCTACCGCTCATGGGCGAAGGCACTTGCCATCGCACGAAGTGTGACCTCTACAAAAAGTCATACCAAAAAAAAAAAAAAAAAAAAAAAAAAAAAAAACCACAAACACACAAATAACAATTCAATCAGAAAAAAAAAATTAGCGGAAAGGCAAGCACAGGAGATTCCCCCTTGACAGGGTTTTTCTTCTTTTTTTCCTGTGCCAATGAAACTTTCATTCCAATTAAAAGAACACAACAATAGACCTCAGGCCCAAATGAACAAACAGAAAAGACATGCAGGCCAAACTCCAAAACGAAAGCAAGGACTGATCAAAGAGGAACAGTCAGGAGATGCAAAAAGAAAAACAGCAAAACAAGAAAGGAGAACCATTACACAAACTCCCCAATGATCAAAATCACACTGGTTGGGGCATGGAAGGCCATCCCGTAGTAAGATGAGTACAAGGGAAGTTGGGGCACTATCAACCAATGCCCCGGCACATAACTTCTGTCTAGCAAGCAGCACTAAGCAATCAGCGGCCTGGTTTGCTTCTCGTGGAAACCACAAACAGTTAGATAAATCCACCAATCCAATAACAGGAACGGCAATTTAACCCCAACTATCAGCAAGTACAAGTACAGTTATACACGTGGAATGGAAGCTCTATTGAACTCTTAGCTTGCAGGTTTGTTGTCTGCAAACCATATATGATCTCTAGCTTAACAATTGAACTGCTAACTATAAATATAATCCACACTTGAAATAAAATAAAAAAACATTATATAAAGAGTAGCAGGCAGAAACCAATAAGATCATATCATAACAGAGCCAACTAAAGGGCTGCAACGCTTGCTTCAGCAGTAATTGCTACCGCCGTCGGAAAAGTGTTCAGTTCTTTCCTAAATTCCATCAACTAGAGATCCACTCACAAAAGGATTATATACACCCTGACTGCATATTAAAAGAAAAATCAAATATTCAAACCCAACAGAATGTGTAACCAAAACAAGAAAGAAAGAAAAACCCAATTTTGCGTTCAGGTACTTCATCCGAAATTTCGCCATCAAAAGCCTTAAATAGATTCAAACAAAAGTTCAAGCATACCAACATTCCATCCACCAACACTAAATTAAAATGTTAATTAAACACGCAGTTCATCTAATCAAGATCATAAAACGCACACAAAAGCAGCAAATGGGAGAGCTGAGCAATCATACCAGCACCGGCTGCTCGACCCGATCTTCATGCTGGTTGTGGTTCACAACTAACAAAACCAGGCTTGCAACAGAGAAGAGTCCAAAAAGCGCCCAGATCCAATACGAAAACCTCCGTCGAACCGGGCGCCGATACTCGGCCGCCCGCCGCCGCATCTTTGACTAATTTCCTCCACAATTCACCACGAAATTACGAATCCGCACCGACCCATGTCCCAGATTCGATCAAAAAACCACCAAAAAGCCCTCCAAGCATATCAGCTCGGTTTGCTCACTTGGGCATCCACCAAATGTTCCCACCAATTCGATAAACCGATCAAAACTCAACCTTCACGCAATTTCAAGCAAAAGCCTACAAAAATCACACCTCCGAAATCGATATCTTCCTCTGTTTTTCTCCCACTCTTTGGCGGGCAGCTTCGAATCAATCGAAAAATTGAAGAGATGGGCAACAACAATCAAAGCGTTTAGCTCTTGGGTGAGAGAGCAAAGAGTGATCGAGCTTGCGATCTGTCGTCGTCACTGTGTGTGTTGGGGTTTCGACGACAGCGGAAGATATTAACCAGCGATAGCAGATGGTGTGTCATGTTTTTGGGGAGGGAAAATAAAACAGTCACATGAGACCATGTGATTTTTTATTTATTTATAAATTTACAAATAAGAAGGTTGCAATTATTTTAGTTTCCACTTTTGCTAATATTAATTACCAAATTTTTTCCCATACAAATCTACCAATTTTTATTTTTGTTTGGATGCATGAATGTACCATGTTTTTGTTTGGAATGCAAAAAAAAGTGACAGGTTCAAATTTCTTGTTCACGTTGTTTGAAACATATATGTTACGGGTTTAATTGAAATTGTATTAGAATTTAAGCGTTTTAAAATAACTTTATTAGATAGTAAGTGTTTCTTCAAGATATTCGAAATACAAATTTAGAAGTGTTTATAAAAGCACTTGAAAACATTTTCTCGAAGGTTAGTCGCACTTTTAGAGAGCATTTTAAAGTATTTTTTGAATTATTTTAATTATTAATAAAAATTTCAACATGCTTCTAAAATATAAGTGTTTTATGAGCACTAGTACTTTCTAGATAATTATTTTCAAAAGGGCCATCAACTAATAAAATGAAATGTGAAGGGCCAATACATTAACATGGGATGGGCGATATACAGCATAAAAGCGATTGATCAATATATCTTCAACTTTCGAAAATTGTTTTTAGAATAAATGTGTGAAATTCAATGGTCACGCATTCTTTATGACTCTTCATTTGTGCTGTTCATATTTTAAGGTTGAAAATTTGTCAAACGTGAGAGGGCATGAATACTGCATTGATGGAAGGAGGGGCCTCACATGTGCTTATAAGTAATTGGACTACTCCCTACATTGCCGATTGATTTTATGGTAGAACCTTAACTTTTTTATCTGGGCAGGTTGGCCCACATGTGAAACTCAATGACCACACTTGCTCCAAGTCACCCAACTCAATGACCGCATGTGCTCCAAGTCATCCAATTCATTTGTGTCCACGTGTTTAGCCTCAATGACCACACGTGCTCCAAGTCACCTAACCCAATGACCACATGTGTTTCAAGAGCCCCAATTCATTTGTGTTCATATGTTTAACTTGAAAATTTGTCACATGTGAGAGCGTGTGAGGATGCGAAGGTAAAGAAGTCTCACATCTGTAAAAAGAGAAACCTTACAAAAGCTTATAAAAAATTAAACTACTCCCCCAAATTATTAATTAGTTTTATAGTGCAATCCCGATTTCTTCATCTCTAACAACCAGTTATTGCATCTCAAGTGTCAGATATGGAGTCTCCACCGACAAGCAAACCTTAACTTTAACTATTAACTTAACTAGAAAACAGATTAGAGCAAAGTCACTAGATTTGGACTTCTCGTCACTTTTAGGAGATCCGATGCGCTTCTGTTGCTAGTTAGGATTTCAATTTTCTTCCATCTGTTATTGTCAAATTAGTATCTGAGATTTAGACTAACTACTGGAAAACATTGATTGTTTAAGTGGAAGAGGGACATGCCATCTGCCTTCTGACTACAAATCACATGTGACAGATACACAAGGGAGAAAATTAACTGAGAAATGTAGTTATCAGTGGGTATACCTTCTTGCATAATTTACAGAAGAACGAACCGTGTTATATATTGTAACCCGACCACAAGTATATATGTACGTGCCTACAAAAGCACACTCTATCATGTGGAATATGGCATATGAGTTCGCACTTTCCACCGATCGATTGCCAAAGTTAAGTTTACATAGCAAGATTTAGAAAGAAAAAAAAGTCACCACACTCGGACTGGTCACTTTAATTAGAAGGTGAAGGCATGAGGTGCTTTTTTAGGATCTGATTGTTCGATAATTATTTTGTTTTTAGCTTTTAGTTTTGTACTCGAGATATAAAGAAAGTATAAAGAAAAAGAAGAGCTCTTAAGACCATCTCCAACCCTTGGGCTAAAAGCCAAATTTTTTAGCCCGGAAAATTTAGCTTTTAGCCCAGAAACATCTTTTCTGCTCCAACCCTTCTACCCTAAAATTTTAGCCCGGAATTATTAAAGAATGAAATTAGCCTAAATTTTTTTCTTAAATCAATTTAAAAAAAAAATAAATATGTAGATTATTGTAAATTAATTTTATGAACATTTTAATCTAAAAAAATTTAAATTCCGATAAACATTTCGCATTTAGCCCGAGGGGAAAGCTGGGGGGGGTATTTGGCCCAGAAATAGCATTTGGCATTTAGCCTAAAATTTTAGCATGGGTTGGAGAGTGTTTGGGGAGGGGTAATTTGGCTTTTAGCCCATGGTTGGAGATGGTCTAAGAAGGGTGGTGAGAAAGAGAGGAATAAATAAACAAGAACGAATGAAAGAATAAAATATCAACTTAACGGGTTTACACAAACAACGATGTCAATTTTTATAAACAAAAAACTAACAATACCATTTTATTAACAAAACAGGTAAAAAAAAATTAGATCACTAATTAGTTTTGTGTAGCGATTCTAGCACTGCAAGTTTATGGTTTATGGGAATCCAGCCAAGTAGAGTATTTTACAATATTTCTGCACTTGCAATGGAAATACTGTATGGGTGTCAAAGCAAGCTCTGCATTCTTGTGCTGTACGCAAAACGCTAGGCATCTGAGGTTGTGTCTCCAAAACCATTACATCAAAGCACCCATTTTCTTGTACAAGTTTCTCCAGCTCATCCGCATATGGGCAAGTTGGAATAGTCGAATTTTTCTTGGCTTAGTAGCCCCTGCAATACAAATTCAACGATGAGTTATTAGGTGCAAAATGTGATTCACCCCTGTGATTAAAATTGACATCATGGTGGTGTGAGGTATGAAGTATTCGAGACTTTTTTTAACAAAGCAGAGAAAGTAATCAAAATTGAAAATTCTAGAATAAACCGATCTATATGCAACATAGATCGTGACTAAAGTGATTAGACCGATCCTTAGCCAAGGATCCAATGACTAAGGATACACCGCCCAGAAATCTTGGGCTAGACTTCATGACGTTATTGGCTGGTCCATACTAAACAAACTCAATAGTAATGGTACTATCGTACATGCTAGATGAAATATACAGTCATTGACATACCTCGCTAACCAAATCCAAAAGACTAGATTCGAGGGGTTCGAAAAGTGGGGCAATATGTTGGAATCCCACATCGGTGGCGGTAAAGAAAAGCAATGACTTTAAATAGAATTACCCCATTCTAACTAATGCTGAGGCTTGTTGTGGTAAAACCCAACACCTGACAGATTGGGTAAGTGGTAAAGTTGGAGACAGTATCGATGTCGTTAGAGTGGGACCCCCACGAGCCCGTCAATTAAAAAAATTTCAACATGGTATCATAGTCCACGATTACGAGCCCATTTTCAACATGGTATCATAGTCCACGATTACGAGCCCATGCAGGCAAAAGGCTTGTCACTAGGAAGTGTGGGCTTGGAAACAAGCTTGGACTTTTAACATAGAGTCGGCCTCCGAGTTCTTAAGATGCACTTCTTGAAAAGATTGAAAACAAGCTTGAACTCCATTAGAGCTGACTTCTAAGTTACAATGTCGGCACGAACCAAGGAAGTTGGTCGATGGATACCAAATCCCCAATGGGATGAGACAAGATTGACGACACAAGGTGTGCTTAAGGTGGCCTCCTTCATTTATTTCCGATTCATTCGTGAACAAGACAAGTTGAGCTAGGAGCCCCCTTCTTGCCCTGCACCCTTATTTGTAGCCGAAGTATAGGTTCGCGTGAGATCAAAGTAACCTGCCACCCATTCACTCTCTGTTCAACAAAGACCATCAATATTAACTCACTTCTTTATAAAAATCTTTCGGATTAGTGGAACTGTAAAGACAACAGGGTCTCTGGAAACATTTTTCATGGTAATCAGTTTCAGGACTGACAAGCGGATACAACTTATCCTGTATTTTAAGATTGTGAGTTTAATGTAACAATTGGATTTGAATGGATAATTTTTTTAAATTGAGTTAAAGGCATATCGATGGTATAAGATTAGACGAGAAAGAAAACTCACCGTCTAATTTTATCACTTTGGAGAAGATTAGAATGAATAGGGCTCAGCTGGTACCCATTTAGATTCAATTGAGTTGGGTTTGATGGTGAAGAAGAAGTTGAAGAACAACTTTGGAGTCAAAATTGAGTTTCGGCAAACGTAGCTAAAATTAAGCCTTATTATTAGTAAATAGTCTATAGCACAAAGAACATTAAGGGTAATATTGACTTTTCATATATCAATTCTGAGCTGGATGGTAACTCAATCGTGGTGGTAGCAGCTCAAGATGTTGCCAATTTTTGTTAAGGTCGTGTTTGACAAAACTGCGTTTTTCTTACGTTTGAACCTCCAAGCATTAACAGGCATACCAAACGCAGCTTAATCTGTTTTTTTTTTTTCTTGAAAAATATTATTAACATTCTAAAAATCTCATTCTATATATTTTTATTTTTAAATATAGAAAATTTAAAGTGTAAAATGAGAATTTAAGAATATTAATAAAAATTCTCTTTTTTTTTTTAATTATTTCAGTTTTTTTATTTTTTATAAATCCAACGATCCAGAACTCGCCTCGAAGCCAGAGTCCGATTGGTCAACCGATCGAATCGACGGCGAACTGCGATTCCATCGAATTTCCAAATTTTACTTCTGAAAAAAGCCGCTTTTGTAATTTCGGGTGGTGGGAGAGCGACCCGTTATCCGGCGCTAAAAGTGAAAAGCCCGCCACGGCCACCCATCAACTCCACCGTCTCTCTCCTTTCAATTTCTCTCCAAAAATCTTCAAGGTACGTAAAACCCCATCTCTAATTTTTGGTTTATAATATTCCCAGCAGATTTTGGGATAGAAAGTTTCATGCTTTTTCTTGACTGAAATGGAAAAATGATTGGAAATTGTTAGTTTTTTTTTTTTTGGAAATTTATATGAAATTAAATGCTTTTTTCTTCATTGGGTTGTTGTTGGATTTCTAAAAAGACTTAATCTTTCACCCATTTGATTGTATTTCTGGTTTTGTTGGTTCATTTCTACTTTTGATTGGAGTGTTCAGGTCTAGAAAGAGAGAGGGAAGGTGGGAAGGAGGGAGGGAGGGAGGGAGGGAGGAGAGAGAAGGGGGTTGGCAATGGCAACAAAGTCAGAGAAGTTTTCTCTGGATTTTGTGATGGGGGGAATGGCAGCCTTGGTGTCAAAGAGTGCAGCAGCACCCATTGAGAGAGTGAAGCTTCTCCTGCAGAATCAGGGAGAGATGATAAAAAGAGGGCAGATTAAGAGACCTTATAAGGGTGTTGGTGATTGCTTTACAAGGGTGTTTAGAGAGGAAGGCGTGTTGTCGTTTTGGCGAGGCAACCAGGCCAATGTTATTCGATATTTTCCTACTCAGGTACTTCATCTGCTTCACTCTCCCACCCTGAAACTATTGAATGATTAGATCGGTGTATTTGGATTTTTTCAGTGAAACCATTCGGTGATTAATGCATTTGTTTAGTTTTCTATCAAAGCAAGCAATTTCACGATGTGTGTTAAATTTTCAAGACGTTTTCCCCTTAGTCGATTTCTTTCTTTGCATTGGTTGGTTGGTTCAGATATCGGTCAGTTTGAGAAGATATAATAACCGGAATGCTCGGTGAATTTCAAACCGTATTTGGATTCTCTATCTTATCAAAGGTTTGCCATGTGTGCTTTCATAGACCTTAGATTTATCTTGTAAATATATACTCTGGGTTTTCAGTTCACAACCAGTGTTGGATGGAAAGTCCACTAGCTTAGTACACTTTTTTTTTTTTACCATCTTAATCGTAGAGATCTCCACCCACTTTTCTTAATTCCATCACTTGGCATCTCATAAGATAGTGGACAGTTGATCATTCAACATTTTTGCTTGAAACTTCACAAACTTTTGGTATGCTATGTTAAATCCAATGAATGTCATGTTTTGACAGTCCTCGCCGAACATAATTTGGAATGCTTGTAGGCCTTCAACTTTGCATTTAGAGGTTACTTCAAAAGCATCTTTGGCTGCTCAAAAGAGAAAGATGGATACATAAAGTGGTTTGCTGGAAATGTGGCTTCAGGAAGTGCTGCTGGAGCAACTACTTCATTATTTCTATATCATCTGGACTATGCACGTACGCGGCTAGGCACCGATGGGAGGGGGTCTGCAGTTAGTGGTCAACGCCAGTTCAGTGGGATTCTAGATGTTTACAGTAAAACCTTATCAAGCGATGGAATAGTTGGGCTCTATCGAGGATTTGGGGCTTCGATCATTGGAATTACGATGTATCGAGGAATGTACTTTGGGATTTATGACACCATGAAGCCTGTTGTTTTGGTTGGTCCTTTGGAGGTAAGCATCTCAGTATTATCTGAACAATTCAAAGCGAGTGTATTCGCATGCATGTGTACTTTGGGATTTGAATTTGTGTAATCATTCTTGGTTCAAACTGCTAATGTGCTCCCCTTCTCGAATGATCCTCAGCCTCAGTTTATATCATTTGAATTTTTTCAGGGGAATTTTTTAGCTAGTTTTTTGCTTGGCTGGAGTGTAACAACAGTCTCTGGGGTCTGCGCCTATCCATTTGATACTGTTCGGCGGAGAATGATGCTAACATCAGGACACCGTCAAAGTATCGTAACGCCTTGCATGCATTTCGGGAGATTGTTTACCTTGAGGGTTTCACAGCACTGTTTCGAGGAGTTACTGCAAATATGCTTCTAGGGGTCGCTGGAGCTGGGGTACTTGCAGGATATGATCAGCTGCAGCGAATTGCATATAAACGTGGTTTGTCCTTTGAGCCACAGCAAAGAGTTTTGAAGTGAAAGTCTGGACATGACACATAGACAGGGTTATTCTTTTGAGCCACATGAAAGAGTTTTCGAGTGAAAGCCTGGGCATAGGACATATACATGGTTATTCTTTTGAGCCACGACCGGGAGTTTTCAAGTGAACTTTCAGACATGAGATCTGTATATACCTCGTCAATTGATTCATGCTTACAGAGATCGATTCAGAATTCAAGTAGAAAGAGGCAAAGAGGAAAATAACAGGACAAGGTAAGAATATTTGTTGATCGATTGCCACTGCTGTTTCCTGGAATGCCTAAGGAAAATCATAGTCCTCCCTCTATACAGTTGAATAAATTATATTCGATTATTTGTATCAGATTGCAATTTAACGGATAGGTACCACATTTACACAGGAAAATCATTCTTCTTCAGTTTCATTAGCTTTTCTATTTCAGAGCTCGGAACTCGTTTTTCGCTGCTGAGAAGATGGGGAATACAGAGAAGATATCAAACTGTCAAAGGATTTTTCTTTTCTTTCATTCAAAAGCCACAATCAATCCCAATTTGTATGCAAATTGTATGGGGAACACGATTTCGCCCGCCTTAGTATTTGAAGTAACTTGATTGAGAAGAAAAACTCTTTATCTTAAAAGTTGCACTGAGTTTTGGATTTGATTTTTGGCTTGAGCATGTGTAATAGGAAGGAGATTAAACCTTCAGAGATGGAACTTGGAAGCTGCTATGCAGTTTGTGTCAACCACCAAGCTTTGACTCGACAACTACAATGCAAACTCAACAAGATTCCTTAAACTTCTTGTATAAGGGGTACTTTTCGTTGACATCCAATTTCTACTAGCATTTTTGTAGTCCCAACAACCACGTCTTGTATGGTTGGAAAATACTTGGCTTTTTTACAAGTCGTCATTCTTCATTGAAGATAACAACCAAAGTCGAGAAATGATTTGCGCACGCCTTTTTTCTTCTTCTGCACACCTGTTGATTTTTTATTTTCGATTCTTGTTTGACTTATTACATTCAAATACCACAAATAGATAGAGGTATGCAAGGGGAGAAAAGAGGTGTGCTGAAATCATTTCTAATCAGAATTTGACATGTATGCAAAAACATATTTCTTCGGATTTCAGTGAAATAGTTTTGTATATGCGTCAGACTCTGATTTTCCGTAGAAAAATGAATGACTTCTTAAACGTAACTAAGAACCATGTGATCATATTTCAATCAAGCCAGAAGCCAGAAATTCTTGTGAAGCTTGGTGGTGATCAAGTAACCTCCCAATTTCTTGCTCTTTCTCCTCACTGCAATCGTCATGCATGCAGCATTTTGAATGCAGTATTCCACAAAAACCTCCCCCGATGATCTGCTCCTCGTCCACCTCTTGATAAGCTGCCACCAGTTCGACCACTTTCTTTTTTGGCCAAGAACAAGTAGGGACACTCTTTGTCTCCTTGCTTCATCCACTATTATTGGGCCCTTCTCTTTCCCTTCAAGCAATGCTACCTCCACATTCACCTATTTCAATTTTCAATGGTCAGTAGAGATCTTTATTTGTATACATATATATAGTTGGCATCTCTATGATTGATCTTCATTGACAGAAGTCGATGATGAACCAAACGTCTTTCTTTTTGTCGATAAATGATTGTCCGCCCCAAAATTTGAACTCAAGACTTTTATAATGGAGATCGAGTGCTTCTAGATTGAATGGTTATGCACATGAGAGTAAAATCTCACGACGTCGGGAAAATGAAAGCCTTGTATGAAAGTTTAAATGATCTTAGGGTTTCTCGATCATTGTTATCTGATTCAGGATCAGATACTTACATTCTATCACTAAACATATTCATTACTAGTTTTGCTGTTATGCAGAAACAAATTTGGGGAAAACAAAGAATTTGTTAATTAAACTTACCCCAGGCCGTTTTCTTTGACAAACATTTTTAATAGAGTGAAGCAGTTCAAAAGCCTTCAAATTAGTCTTCCCATTTGAGTCTGCAAGAAGATTAATGCAACAAGATAATTAACATTAATGAAACAAGATAATTAAAAACAATGAGATTAATCTGATAATTAACTATTTTCTGACCTTGTTGTTTGGAGGGATTAGCTACATGAAGAAGAACAATGGTATCCTGGGATTGGACAGTGTGGGATAGTGCCCATTCGAGAGCTCCCTTAGCTTCAAGGCTTGAATCCACAACAACCATAATCTTGTTCCCACTTTTCACATCTTCTGCAGTACTACTCAAGTCATCATCCCCGCTGCTGCTGATATTGTTCAAAAACTCTGTGCTGTTATGATCAGTAGTAGCTTTGACAGAACCGGAACGCCGTCTAGACGTGTGTTTCGACCGGAGAGACAGTGGATGGATTGGAAGACAAACAGTCGGCCGGGCACCACACAACCTTGCATATTTCCTGCTCATTTTTCGTTGACAATATTGGTTTTGCTGGTTGGAAAATGGCTGGCTGTACATGTACATATATATACAAATAATAAGGCCTAGACTTGGAACCTTTTGTTTTTTCAAGGGCATTTATTCCTTATTTTGTTTATTTGTGACGTGCTTGCCATGAATTAATCTGACGGCTTCATTTCATATATAGTTATTTGTTCCCATACATCCCACCCTAGAAGCAAACCAGTTGTTGAGAGTTTGACTAATTTCCCAAAAAATGGAATCATATGATATTATACTTTTGAATAGTTCCCATCACCTAAATTACTAGATACATATAAATCCAAATTTAATAGAGTATGCTTGTAACTATATATACTTTTACATTAACATGATTAGTTATATGGCGAGAGAATAAGTGGAGGAGTTTAAAGATGCATCATTGCCTCTAATGAAATTTAAATCAAATTAAGCACATCATAGTCTCTCGGATTAATAAGGCACCCATCTAGCTAGGCCAAAAGGGATGGTAAAACACAAATTTTCAAGAAAGAAATAAAAACATATAAAATTGAACAATTTGTAGGCAAACGGTGTAATATTATGATGTTTCTAATTGATGTTATATAAGGGTAGTGCTATCCACACATATTTTTCTCAATTTTTTACTGTTAGATCGAATAAATTAAAAAAGATTAAATGACATAAATTAGTAGATAGTGTGTGGAATGTAAAAATGAGTGTATGGATAACATCATCATAAAAAATTTGAACATGTTACAACAACATTAACTCTCTTACACCTTGCCTATTCGAACTAAATAAATCAAATCAAATTACAACGGCTTTTTCATATATATATATATATATATAGGCTTTTGATAACATTTCTCTTAGAGGAAAACACTTAAAATTCAATAGTTTAGGAAAAAAATTCAATTTGACAAGTAGATAGATGAAGAACTTCTTCAATTGAGTTGATGTGTTTTTGTATATAACATTATTGAGGACGAATTTTAGGTTTATATTTGACACGTATATTCTTGGATTTAATTTCTGACGCTGGTGAATCACACGATGGTGCTTAGGGAAATGCTGAAATGCCTCTGGGTCTTTCCGGCCTCCTAAAATGGTGAATTACCGTGGAGAAGCCACTAGCCAATCCTTTTTTAAGAAAGAATGTACTTATATAGGGAGGTTCATTCCAATTTGCTTAGATGTAAAATAAGGTTCATTCCACCAATTAAACAAGGCAAATGGTTGGTTGTTGAGGCAATAATTCGATCGTGTAAGTTAACTATATGGGATTGGGAGAGAGTGAGAGAGTTTGCGAGCCAAATTAATTAGAAGAATGTCGCCGGCCAGTCTGCCAAATGTATTGGCTAATTAAGCATCCGGCCGTGTGGGATGATTAATATATCAGCAATACATTACTAGCCAACAGAAAGCACAGATCATTGGGACATAAATGTCAACCGCATGATTAATTTGTAATATATTCTAGAAGATAAATAAACCGCTATGGCCAAGTGCAAAGCAGACGTGGCAGACTTTATGATGAATTTGTTTGTATTAGGAATATATATAATATATTTATTTATTAATCACAAGTCTCAACTGTCTCTCATCATTCACACTACTAGTTTAGATTGGTAAAGATAGAGAATGTTTAGGAAATCGGACTTTTCATTTAACAATTTAATGTTAATTTCTGTATTAATATTATAAACTATTGTGTCAGAGAATTTATGAAGAATCTCACTCTTCTTGGTAAAAATATTTATTTCTTATCTCGTATATATTAGTTTTAAGTTCAATTCTTCTCTATACGAAAGAAAGAAAAATGCAATGAAGAGTAATTAGCTAGCTAAGTTTATGTAATAGCATTAGGCTTCAAATTTATAGTTGTAGAGTTGCACTTGGGCTCCTCTTTTCGTACGCAAGACACTTCTTTAATCAGAATCCTTCTCCACATCTCCCTTGGATTCCATGGCATCTTGGGCTATGAACCTACGGTAGCAGTGTATCTGTACTATAAAAGTTGTTATGTTTTACCGTAAGGATCGTGAGAGGAGGAAACTGATAATGGAGGAACGCACCCATTGTATTTGCATGTACCACCAAAATGATAAGGGCCGACTACTCTACAATGTTATATGTTTAAATTTAAATTGTTTTCAAATGTGGGTTTGGTTTTTAGTACTTTAGCATTTAGTTAGTTAGCCCATAGCTAATCACAGGGAATTCAACACTTTTGGCAGTAGAACATTGAGGTTGATATAAGCTGGACATGTACCCCATCTACTCGATCCGACCAAAGAAAAAAGACATCTATACAGAGTTATAATATCCTAGACTAAACTACTCCAAAGTGCTGCAGTATATATCACTAATTAGCATGAAAGAGATCCGAATTCAAATATAAGAAGATAAGTACAATATACACGTTGATTGATTGGCTTAACTCGCATATGTGACGTTAATATTGTCAACCTTCATATTGCAAGATTCAGCTCGATCACAAGAGCTACCAAAAACCACAGTGTATGCACGTAGAAGAAACAGGAGAATTAAGCAGAATACCAAATCCACATATATCAAGTAAAGGGAACATACACGTACATACGTGTCCAATATATTGTAGTATATATCAACAGCACTTGTCTAATTCCCAAGTTAATTTGAAAGATAGTACCTTGAAAGTAAAATGTACTAATTACAAGATGTAGGCCACACTTTACATAGTTTATGGGCTATTAAGTTCTAGTTTGATATTGCTTAAATTTTTTAGAAGCGGGTATTAAAAAAGCCGGGGTATTTTTATCGTTTGGTAACCATATTAAAACCTTTTTTTTTTACACAATTGAGGGTGAAAAGAAGTTCAAAAAGCTGAACGAGTAAGAGGTAGCTTTGAAAAACGGTTTTTTTTTTCTTTTCGGAAAAGGATCTTCGCCGGATCTTTACCTGTGGATCTTAGGGATTTTGCAATCGTATCCATTCATCATACATCGTGTGGTCATAAATCATTTACAATTTAAAATTTAAAATTCAAATATAAATAGTACGTAACGAAAACTAACCGCACGATGTATGATGAATGGATACGATTGTGGGATCCCTAGGAAAATGATCCGGCAATGATCCTTTTCCTTTTTTTTTTATCCCAAAACTTGAGTGAATAGTACCACTTAATTAAATTTTTCAAAATGGTTATCCTACCCCCCCCCCCCCTTTTTTCTACATCGTACGCTATTGCATAGGCAGACCCGATCTGAAATTTTTCACGCCCTTCCTCCCAGCTCTGATCTCTCTCATCTCCTAGCTCGTATCTTTCCTCTGGTAAGCTTCCTTCTCTTCTCTAAAAATTTCAGTTTATTTCATTCTTTCTTTGTTAGGTTTTCTTGTTGGGTTTTTAAATTTGGATACAAGGGTTTTTCTTTCGGTGTTACGGAATCTAAATTTAAATTTCCAAAACCTCCAAGTGGTAAACTTCTTACTGTAATTATTTGTCTGGAATCTTCATACTTTTTATTAATATTTTTCATACTCACTTTTGTGTAGTTATTACATTTGAAAACAAATTTTCCATTTGACAAGAAATTATTATTTGGTAGATGCGGGGTACCCATAAATGAGACGATATTTTGGACTATATAAGGTGAAAGATAGCATCTCCTGAACTTTTGTAGGGGTGCCCAACCAACAAGTCATAAAGAGGTATTCAAGCACATGCATACTTCGCTGATGAGCGTCCTTGAATAGACATTTCGGGTATGGAAGAAAATATGGACAATTTTAAGGGATATGCCTAACTATTCATTCAATAAGCAAGTAAGATTGTCATTGCTACAATGACTTTTCATAACTACATAAAGAGGCATTCTGAACATGATCACTATTAGCGCTAGTGATGATGATGAAGAATACCATGATTATCATGCTCAAGGATCATATGAGATAGAAGCATTGAGAAATAGCATAGCCATACAGTTTGATAAATGCATCTAATTAGACTACTTTTATATTGAATAATATTTAGATTTTTATTCTATTTGACGTATGTATCATTTGGTTGATGGTAATTCAAGTGCCTCAACAATGTTGTGCTAATGAATCCTAGCTCTTCAGTTTGAAATATTTCAATATAATTTGTCATACTACTTAGTATTTGTGATAGGTTCAAATTAAGATATAAAAATTATTAATTGTTTTCAAAAAAAAAATTAATAATTGATCTTTATTTGCCAAACAATTAAATTAATAATACATCTAGTATTTTTTTTATCACTTTACACATCCACAAATGTTTTACATACAAACTTACTAAACACTAACATTGTGTTTTTTTTTCTTTTGCTACAAGCACTTTACAATTATAAATTACCAAACACTTTACTACTTTATTTCACAGCAGTTTATTTTCATAACATAGTAAAAACAGTTTTTTTTTAAAAATTTTTTTTAAAGCACAACAATACCAAACAAGCCCTTAAGATATATTAATGAATTCCAACATACGATACACATTTGGAGCTAGATCGAGTCTAGGGTTTTCATCATGCACATTACCAATTAATTTCTTGGTATAGATATATAGATATATATATATATATAAGTATAATATGTTTACTTGATTAATTGATGTCACATAATATTATTCCCTTTGGAGATAATATTATTTCATGGTGATGAATTCTTCTATTCATTAAGGTGGCGGAGCATCCAAGCGGGCAGCAGCATGTTAGGTCTATGTGGAGTTGGGGTTTCATCTCCATACTGCTGATTATCTCCTGGTATTCCTTCACTTGATCTAATGGCCTGGTAATTGGACCCGCTGCTGCAATATAATATATATTCACACGTTTATGAATTAATTTAACTTGTATTATAACTATTTTTTTTAGTTTTAGTTTTCAATATTATGTTATATAAGGAAGAAAAAAAATGTGGGAGAACAAAATATCGAATATCGAGAGATTTTTTTGCCAAAATGATCTATGAGACTGACATAATTCTTAGCTTTAGTTCTTGACAATGAAAATCGATAGAAGTTTTTTTGAGTTTGTTTACC